GAGTATGCCAAGTACCGCGAACGGTTTGAGGAAAGGTGCAAAATAGCCAACACGGTGGACAAGCTTACCAGGATCGTGGACAAGTATATGCCGAAGCTCGCCAATGAGACACGGGCACATGTTATCCGCTTTCCACAAGGAGCCGGCCCACTACTAAAAAAGGCACGCCAAATCCGGAAGAAGCTCCGGATGCGGCGTAAAGCAGTGGGGGCGACAACCTCGACGTCACCAACAACAAGGACGCCACCAACAACAAGCCGTGGGGGAGATGCCACAGCCGACTTTCGAGAAGGGGGCGAAGAAGATGAAGTCGACTGGGGGAGCACAGACTCCGCAACCTCCGGCACAGAACTGCGCGACCAAAGCAGGGGAGAGCAAGATGAAAAAGTGACGACCGAGGACGGAAGCAACCGCGAGACAGCGACAGCCCAAGGCCAAAGTGAGCCAGGAACAGGAAGCACTGGAACAGCCACCAAAGATGACTCGCAAGAAGGGGGACGCAGCTTGGGAGAAGAGAGGCCGCGCACTCCTAGCCGAAGCCCAAGGAGAAGACGGTTGGGGAAAGAGCGCCCGCGCACCCCCAGCCGCAGCCCGCGGGGGAGACGGCCATGCACAAGGCCACGGAGAAACAGGCTGGGGGAAGAACGCCCACACAGTCCGAGCAGAAGCCCACAGCGAGTACGACTACAGCCGAGTATTTGGTGGCAAGTGCAGCAAGTACAGGAACATATGCACCACCAACGTGAGGGCCGTGAGCGCGACTTGTAAAAAGCGCAGTGTGCGGGGGACGGGAGCTGGGTGAAGGCACTCCTTTTTCGTGTGTTGCTGCTGCCTTTCGCCTCCCCTTGCTCCCGAGTTTCTCCTCTGAACCCTTGCCGGGGGAATGCATACCTTCTTGCAGGTAGCTCGAAGTAGCCGCCGTGTGGTTTCCTTTTCTACAACAGCTCGAAGTAGCGACCGAAAGCCCAATTCAATTGCACCAGTCGCCACTCTGCGACTTTTGTTACCAACCGCCACATTAATTCAACGCTTTCGCCGACTTTGCCCAAACTAGAAGAAATAATTCAACCGGCCTTTTTCTTTCTAAAGTAGAGGGGGGCCCGCCGTCTTCGTTACCTGCACGTTTGCCTGTTCTTCGCCGTTGGTTTTTGCAGACGGTTCGGGAAACTCGGGGACGCAACTGAATGAGAAGGGGGGCCAGCCTGCAGTCGTGTTTTTGCAAGTACTGTTGTACGGGCCTTAGCGTGTCGCTGTTGTTTTGCGTAGGGGCGGCCACCGAATGCTTGAACCAGTGGGGGGGAAATTGCCTGGTGAGGGGCTAAGGACTTTGCCGTAGAGGGCGCGGGGACGAGGCCGGGATGCGGGCTAAAGTTATGGGTTAGGGTGGGTCCCTACCAGGCAATCTCCACAAACCACTCCGACCACGGGGGAAAATCCCCCAATGCCCTTTCTCCCACAGTCGTGGAAGAGAAGGGGGGGCCTTGGCCCGGGTCCAGCTTGCTGGACTTGTCCCCAGTGAAGTGAAGTGAAGTGAAGAGAGAGAGAGAGAGAGAGAGACTCCTGTTACCAACTCACCGTGCTCCAATGTCCAACAAGTCTTCTCCAGTTGCAAATTGGGCCAGAGCAACTTCAATGTGCAGCTCGACCAGAGCCGGCCATCATCGCAAAATGCAACAGATCAGACACTCGCGACTCACTTCAGATACTAGTATGTGTCTGTGAATTAAAGGGTTCTAACCATAACGAGAAACGGCAGATCAACACTCGCGAATGAAAAAATGCTCGGGACTCACAGCAGATAAGTGTTTGCGAACAAACTCGTTGGCCACCTGTCTCGACCACAGACCAATGCATTAAAGCAGTCCACTAAACTGGTCCGTACCTGCCTGTGCCTCCAAGCCGGACCAGGGATAGAAGACTTTGATTCCTGCGAGATGTTTGGCCTACCAGTCAGAGATGATGTGAATCATCCGGTCTTTGGAGTGTCGTCAGAACACTAGTTTCGGCAGGCTTTATCGTAGCTGTTCTTTGTATCCCTGCGAAGATGTGAACTTGGCACCGCCGATGTCACCGGCAACACATATTCTGCTGGTGCATGAGCTACTTCGTGCAAGGCAGGAATTGCAAAAACAACATGCTGGGAAGGGAAGCCAGTTCTGCAATCGCAAGTAGCACTGTTTGCCGAGCCCGTGGTCTTGAAATGCCCAGCCTGAGTCGATATGCATGGCCACGGCAAACGAGCGAAAACTGCAGCAGGTCTCTTTTGAAGAGTGTGATGAGTACCGGACAGTGCCAGCATCTTCACTCGGTTTTTCAGCCGGTGCTGCTGGCTTGGTCTTGACCGTCGAAGGCGCCGAAGTTGTTTTGCTGCCAGTGCCTGCCAGCGCCCAGGTGCCAGAGCTTGTAAACTCACTCCCTGCCTCCGCTTCCGACAGTTTTGATGCGCTGGCTGGCCTCTCAGACTTGAGGGACTTGAGGGGGAATTTAACTACGGCTCTCGTCAAGATGCGCTGAGGTGTTCCTGGGTGGGAATGGGGACAGTTCATGTACAGTGGCCCGGCGGAAACTTCACACGGCTTGTAGCATTGTAGCGACCTGAGCTTCGTCGACATGGCTTGGCAATGTCAGGTTGAGCTCGTCCGCATTCACAGCATTCGCAAGATGCCCTGGTGGCAAGCTCCTTTCCTAGCTCGCTGGGATATGCAGAGCCACCTGGAGGTCCCTTGGCTCACAGATCTCGTCCGAGGTGTCCCGAAGAACTGAGACTCGCACTGAGGCACACATTTTCTGCGAGCAGCAAGTAGCTGGCCGTTGCACCTTTGTCCAGACGAAGGTATCCGCAGCATGTGGGTTTTCTGTGGCATCTCCTGTGACAACTAGCTCCATGCTTTTGCAGGCCATCACCTTATCCCCCTGGAATTTCATCTGTCGAAACCTATCTGCAAGCAGATCCCCCTCGGCAAGAGGCTCAAAGGCTCAACCCCTCCATAGTTCAGCCTCCGCGCAAGGTGTGGAAACAACCGGTGATGAGAAGAAGGGGTTGATTCTGGACGACGAGGCCGAGGGTCTAAGGCAGTCGCGTACTATGCACTTGCACGGCCACACCCCTGAGGCCCTGCATTGCATGAAGAGTATGAAGGCGCTGGCATCTGAAATGCAGGGCTGGGCTGCGATCAAAAGCCGGTGACCTGTTCGAAGGATCGGGAAGTTCAGGAGTCTGAAAAGTAGTCCGATCGGTTCTGTTGCAACTGCCGAAGACAAGTTGTCTGACACAGAACTTCCCCATCCCCTGGTGACTCCTCCGAAGATGTATAGATCCGGCTTGGATTCGGTGAGAATCTTGCCTCATGAGGATTGCCGGTAGCACACCTACGACGCTTAAGGCGCACAAACGTGCCTCCATTGTCGACGCGAGTGCTAATGCATGTGGAATTAGGAGATCATGCGACGCTGCGCAAGAGGAGGACTAACCGAGTCACGAGCTGGCCTAAGGTGTAGGCTAAAGTGCAGCTGTTTGGGCTGTTGTGCGAGCAATAAGGAATCCCATCCTCTTGCACCCCATAAAAAAGTGCTTTCAAGGAAAAGCAGCGATCCTTGCAATGGTTTAACAACTATCAAAAGTCTGCGGGCCATGATGTAAACGCTTCCCCGGTTGAGTTTGTAAGCCATAACTTCCAGACGTTGATTGCGGCCCTTCGTTTGAGACATGTTGAGCAAGCCTCAGTCAGCCAACAGCATGCTGTTAGCATGTGCTTCGCGAGCTGTGGAGCTGGGGCTTCGAGGCTTCGGAAATCCGTCGAACCACGGAATTCCCACAGGCACCAGTGCACCGGCGAATCAGAACTGATAGCTGGAAGCTGCCTGGAGGTTGCCGGTATGTAAGTTTGAGAAGGCTCCGAGAGGTGGAATGTCGTCGTGGACGGTTTGCAGGCCGATCAAGGTGAAGGACAGTTTCCAGCCTCTCGGAGACGCTACTAAGCCAGGCGTGTTCAGGGCAGGAGGATTGCCCGAAACGCCGCGCAAGGTAGGCCCGATCCCTCTGCAGTTGCAATGATCAACTTGCCGAGGGCCGCCCGTGGCCGGCAAGTGTCAGCACCAGCAGCAGGCACATGATGTTGATGCTAGAAGGACAGGTAGGGCATATACCAGCAGAGCTTGGTTAATGTTGATGTGATGCGCGTGGTGTTGAAACTGTACAGCCGGCCCGGGATGTACCGTATTAATTTGGAGTTGATAGACTCCTTCAGTGATCCAGTGCTGGTGACAGTAGCATGCCACTGCAGGCAGGTCAGTTGCTAGCGTCAGAGCATTTCGATCACGTCCGGCAGCACGGATGCAGCTTTAGGATGGGCTTCGCGGTTCTTCCGCGCGATGAGAGGTCATCTCAAGCTGTTTTGTTGTTGGAAGCTCCTCTTCCGAGCTGCATCTGCGGATGTCATGCTTCCCCTGATAAACAAGGTGCTGCCTAAGCCTTGTGAGACACATGTTTTGTGTTCGGCTTTCATGGCCGCCCTGCGTGCACTTGCGTGTTTTTCTCTGGAGCTTCTGTCATGCTTTTCGAGGGTTGCCTCTTGCTTTCTGCGCCCAACTGTCTGGCCGAGGGGCTGGGGTTCGTGACAGACCTTGAAATCACTCGCATTGCAAAAAAACGAGCGAGACGAGACAGCTCAGGGCGCCGTTTTGCTTCGCTGAATACGATGAGCTTGTGCGGAAGCGTTTGGCAGTGCGGTCTGCTTGAACGAACGCGCTCAAGGCCATGAAGCCGTTGTGCCAGATTGCCAACGGTCTACATGCAATATCATGCAATCAAGAACCAGGAAGCGGTGGTCAGCTAGCTAGAGAAACACCACTCCCAGTCCTTTCTGCTGAACTGATGTCATCTGCTCGCAAAGTTCACAGACCCTTGACTAGTGCTTAGCGCATGATATATATATATATATATATATATATATATGTGAGAAAAGGGCTGCAGCACCGCCATTTGCCATCAGCATCCTTGCATGCGCCCCGTCAGCCTGCTGACGCCTTTGCTCGTACAACTCTATGCGGCGGAGAAGGAGTGCACTCAGTAGTGGTGCGCTTGCCGGTGGCTACTAGTAGCAGCATGTGCCTATGTGCTACTGTGCTGCTGCATTCTGGGCCCTGGGCCCCCCGAAGCCACAGCTTCAGGAGATCCTGCTCGACAAGACCCTAGCTGTTCTACCTCATACAGCGCTTCGGCCACAGGGTATTAGAGTAAATGCGAAGGTCATGATGAGCGGCTAGCTGTGTAGTCTATTCGTCCATGATGTGCGCACGTCTCTCAGTCCTGCATCGTACAATTGATGGATTTTGGTCGGGGAGAAACAGCTAATCCAAGGCTGTCTAAGCACCATCACACCAGGTCTGTCGCAAGGCAGGGCCTCCCTGCGGAGTGTTCTTCTAGCAACATGAGAAGGTCCGTTTCGAAGAAATTACCGTAGTATTCCTCGTGCGCCTTTTAGACTTGATAAGTTTGCTTCGCAATCGCTTAGGCCTCGCTTGTGGAGACCGGTAAGCGTTTCGGGATAAGGCTGTGGAACTTGGCCGGTGGCGCGCGAAGCTGGAGAGTTCCGGCTTGCATCTCACTTTCGGGAAACGGTGCAAAAAGACTTCGACAACGCGGTTGCTTTGCAACTGCTTTGCACTCTAAGGTGTCGTGCAGGACCCTGAATGTGAGAAGGATGTGGTGTGCGGGGGTTTGCGAAGCTCTGCCGCAAAACGCGATGCTCCTTGAAGTTTTGGCTCCGGGCCAAGCGGCCTTGTCTTTGCGCTGCTGAGGCCCGGAATGCAAGAATGCGCAGTGCCAGGACCGACACGCTCTCACTTTGGGCTTCCTGTGAATTTTTTCATTGGCCTTCAGGATCTACGAGAATTCAACGCGTCCGTGGGCGAGTGTATTTGCGAAAGCCCCAAAGACTGCGGACGTGAGGCCAGGTTCTGGATTTTGAATTGAGTGTGTTGCCTTCCGACGTTTTCTCGGCCAGGCTCTGCCTACACCGGCGACCACATCTATCACGGGCTGTGCCCAGATTTGTGAAAAGAACCCTGAGTGCCAAGCTTTTGAAGGGCAACTTGGCTGAGCCTGGACATCCTAGGCCTCCTGGCACAAAGTCGAGAGATTTCCGTAAACCCGAGGTATTACCATCGCCCAGGCAATTTCGACTGCAAACTCTTCAGGAGTTTGGGGAAATCAGCCAAAATTGAACGACCAGACGGTTCATCGAGTTAAGGGGTTTCGGGGAGGTTGGGAGGACATGGCGCCTTTTGCCAGGACTCGCCAGAATCAGGAAAGCGGTGCCCCGGCAACTTTGACAGGCAACGGTAGACGCTTCCTGGCGAGAATTCGACATGTCGTCTACTTGCCGTCGTTCTTGTCTTAGTGAGATGAGTCGCGGTCTGGGAGGAAAGGCATCCGAATACGACGTGTTCTGCTACAACAAGCCAGATAGAGAAAGTCTCTGTGGCCGCCACGTTGGATGCCTTGCTACGCCAGGCGTTGTGCTTTCTCGGGCACTCGGGCGTGTGACAACATCGACAACTGAACTGGACAGCTTCTTACAGCTTTGGTGCCGTGAATACTGGTACCGTGAGTTGCAGGTCACTTCTGCTGTCCCGACCGTCGTGGCGTGTTCTGTCAGCACAAAGTATCTATGCTTTGGGCTTACCTATATTGGTTGTTTTGTGGCCTCAGTGACTTAGTGCAGCCAGGTCAGACACCTCAAGTAGTTGCCTTTGCAGAGAAATCGCTCACATTTCCGGAAAATAGTTGACACCAATATCTGTTGCGTCAGCAGTTAACAGCTGTGGAGGAGCTGCTTCTTTGCTGCTCGACACCATCTGCTCCCCTACCGCAAGTCCAGTCTTTTCATGCATAGTCTCCAATAGATCACCATCACCCCGAACGAGCGGAGGTGGGATTGTTCGGCAGTTTCTGCACTGCCATTCTGGCATTGTGACTTGCCCGAAGTGGAGACGTCTGACTTCCACTGTGGTGTGGCACATTTAATATCGTGGCTTTGATGTGCAAGTCCAACGGATGCTTTCCTGCAAGGATGTTGGCCTGCTCTGTGTTTCTCAACTGCATTGACGCCTTCCCACCGAAGTCTCCTCGTGACCGCACAAACCGGGAGGTTCTTCAACTGCAGAACCTGGGGCCCTCTGGCTGCAGCATCCGGTCCGAGTCCGGCATTCTGGCATCGCGGCATCTCCCCAAACCACAGTGACGCAGAGAGAGCCTGGCAGCCAGGTGGCATCGAGCTGTAGCAGCGACGCGATGTGAACCTGCACCGAGGCAAGCCAGCCATCGCCACTCCGGCTAACGATGTTCCAGGCAGCACCGATGTCAGCTTCCCAACTCCTGTACGAGGCCGCAGGGGTTGACTGTTGCCATTTTTTTGCGTCCTGCTTCTGCGAAATGCGAGGCCACCAGATCTCGTTGCTCGAATACAACGATCTCCAGTCCTCCCTGGCCACTTGAACAACTTTGGATCATCTCGGACTGTTTTGCTTTTCATTGCTTGGCTTTCTCTCCCTTTGAGCCGGGCTTGATGCAAGGGCGCAGCAGGCCGCTACCTCATCGCTTTTGTGAATCCAGGATGGGGGCCAGTGCGTTTCTAGCACTCGCTGCATTCGCAACTGCGCGCTTCGGGCGTTGAATCCTTTCTGCAGGCTCTGGAGATCAGAGCGGCAAGCGCTTCGAGAGACTCTTCGAAGCGCTCTTGGCCCAGAACGGGAAGATCTGCAAACTTCCGAATGATCTCGAGTCTGGACTAAAGCTGGCGGCAGATCTGCTCCGGGAGAGCCGAGATGTTGCTCTCTTGGCCTGTGGTGGGGATGGCACTGTGACCTGGGTCCTCTCTGAGTTGAATGACAGACGAGAAGCCTTGTTCAAGAACATCCGGCTACCGCCCGTTGGAATAGTCCCTCTCGGTACAGGGAATGATCTGGCCCGGTCTCTTGGTTGGGGCCCTGCACTCACAGACAACTTTCAGCTGCTGTCCTATGTTCAGCGTGCTATGAAGGCCGAGACCGTTCTGCTTGATCAGTGGCGGCTCACCTTGAGACCTTCCCATCTTCTGCCGCCATCTCTTCGTCAACGTGGGACTGTGGAGTTCATTGGATACTTTACCAATTACTTCTCGGTTGGGATGGACGCCCACACTGCCTACGAAGTTGGGAGAGTGCGGTCGTCGGGTTTCGGTAAGTGTTGCTTTCGGATGCGCTGCGTCCCACCATGCCGGTTTCTTCATGGCGGTCTGCTATGTTATGCACTGAATGGTCCGAACTGTGCGAGATGTTTGTGCTGTCGTACCCGTGCTCTGAACGACGACCTTGAAGTCAGATTTGATGATGATCCGGGAACGGTCACATTTCCGAGCTCCATCCGCCAATTCACGCTCACAAACTTGAATTCCTATGGACGCCCGGATGCAAGCAGTGGTGGTTCAGCCGCTCATAGAGCCCAGCGGCTGTTGTCGATGTTCTTCGCTTAAGCAGGTGCAGGCATGCTATTGTACGGCAGCGAGGCCGTGCGAAGACAGGCAGTTGAGGGTTGCACCTGCAGTCGAGAAAGTGTATGTCTTCAGTTTCTTGACCTGCGGACCAGGTAAGCCCGAATGATGGGAGGCTGGAGGTTTTCACCAGACAAGGTCCCTACGGAGTCCCTCGCCTCCTTGCTTGTGTGTGCTGTGGGTTTTAGAATTCCCCTGATCAGCCTCCGAGGTCATTGGCATGACCCTGGCCAAGAAGGTCCTGAAGGCCCCATGTGGCAATGTGGATATCGCCTTTCAGCCACGCCGTGTGGAAATGCGCCTGAAGAAAGGACATGTTGGTATGTTGCATCTGCAGCTAGCCTTCTCCTCCTCAGAGACAGAGAGTCAGAAAGCCTCAAGCTTGGCTGCAGGACAGCACTTCCAGATGGATGGGGAACCCTGGGTTCTGAATGCTGCTTGCACGGCCGTAATTGAAAGGTTCCCTGGCTTTTGTGAGGCGAAGGTCCAGGCTAGGCCAGCGCAACATGTGTCAGACAGAGTGGACGTGAGACAGCTCAACCTCCGATGCAAGAGACTGCATCCCTTCACTGCGCTGCTATGCACTGCATGCGCTGGCTGCTATGCGCTGCTGCACTGAGGCATACCAAAGTGCGTATGCTTTGCCCGAATGAGGATGGTCCTGGAGCAGGCCGGAGCAGGCTTGAAGAGGCGAGCCTTCGGCAAACGTGGCAGCTCCGGAGGTGTTTGGTCAGGTTCCCAGAAAAGGCACTTCTGGCACTCTCGCCGTCAAGGCACGAAGTGCAGTTTGCCTTTGCCTCCTTCACTTTACGTGATGTTTGCCGCAATTGCAAAAGCAGGTTCTGCTGCTTCTTCAGCAGGCGAACAGGAACTCTGTGCGTCCCTGGCATCTCGACCGAGCTCCCAGACGTGACTGCATGGAATTGATGCGCATGAAATGAGACAGAGACTTTATCGAGCTCCTGGAGGTCGCCTCCATCTTGTTCATGTTCGCGCCGGGTGATTGATTGGCTCAAGTTATGTGTCCATTCTCAAACGGATTATGAAGCCTGAGCCGTGGAAGCCCTGTGTCATACTCGCCACAAAGCCAACTAGAGACGTTAGCCTAACGGGCCTAACCGTTAAAAAGACCAGAACTTTTGGACTATGTCTTAGGCTGGCCGAGGCATCGCTCAGCATCTGGCACCAGACACCGGAATGTTTCATGTTAGTATCCGTTGATTTTGCAGCCAGCCTTGCTGCGGTGCGCAGCTCAGCCCGTGGCATATCCGAGATTACAGAGCAGAAGGCTGCCACGTTTGTGGAAGGATGGCTGAGATGGACGAGTGCAACGGGCGATGGGAGGTCCCAGCTTGCTGAATGCTTTACATCTGCACTCGTCGTGTGGCACCTGCACTTGCTCCGCTCGCTCTTAAGGCTTGGCCGCTTTTAGGATGCACTACAGAGAAGCTGTATAATAGCCCTTTAAGCAAAGAGGAGTCACTGCATCTCTGTGCCATGACCGAAGCGGGATCGCCAGCGGCGTTGCTGGACGCGGTGACCTCTTTGCGAAGCTCCTTCGCTCGGCTTGAGCTTCGTAGTCAGGCGCTGGCCCGGTCCCGCAGGCCAGGGCCGGCCAGTCCGGTTGAGCAGAGTGTTGTGGGGTGTTGTGGGGTGATTGCGATGAATCAGGTGTTTTTTTCTCTTTCATTCCTTCTCCCCACGGCCCAGGAGTCTGCGGGACCGAGGCGTGCAGCGAGCCCTTTCCAAGCCAGCCCAGGCTCATGCAGAGGATCGGAGCCTAGGGCCTGGGGGCATGGCCGTAGCAGGCCGTAGCTGTGTTTGCGTTTGTGGAGAGTCAGAGTATGTGAGAACCAGAGAGTGTGTGCAGAAAGGACCTCAGGCTTGCGCTGATTGCTTCCTTGACAAAGTGGCAGAGTGGGCCTGGGCTTCAGTTAACATTTTGGGAGAAGGAGGAGCCAGACGATCTGCTGGATGCCCGACGACGCCGGAGTTCCCTAGCAAGCGTCTCAAGCCTGCAACGCGTGGCTACGACGGGCTGCATTCGAGAGCCAAGAGCAAGACTCGCGTGGAATTCGTCAGATGCTTCGGCGGACTCTGAGGAAAGCAGTCTAGATGGCTCGAGACAGCCCGCAATCCAAGAATTACCACACCCCTTCTTGGCAAGAAAGCAGACTGCCAAGAAAGGGTCGATGTCCATGCGACCGTTCTCTGCTGTTAACACAAGACATATGCAGAAAGTGCGAAAGCAGTATACTATGCTTGAAATTCCTCCAGACGTGCCGGCCTCTGTGGAGGTTTGAATCCTTAGCTTAACAGACTCCAAGAGTCTGTCTCGTCTCGTCAAAAGACTACTGCGTGTATGCTCAAGGCAGTGCTGCAGCACCTTCGTAGAAGTGTGGCATATTGCATGAGCAAGATGCTCTTGCAATTCGATCACATGCTCTTTGGATTGAATCTGAAAACAGTGTTGAGTGCCCATGCGGGAAGGTGGGCAATCGCGGTTGATACCTGCCTTGTCTGCGCCGTGCCAGTGAGCTGGCCTTGCATTCCGCAGCTGCTTCCTCTCTCAAGTTCCGAAGACCAGATCAGTGCTACTTTTGGTTGGGGGGCCCAGCGAGGCCAGCAGAGGTGCATGTGCGGGAAGCTGAAGCCCCACCCAGGACACATGCAACTCTCCCGCCGGGCGCTCGCCGTCACCACCGGAGCTGTGCCTCGCTGGGAGAGATTGGAGTTCACCCGCGGGTCGTGATGTCACGCAAGCGTCCTGGAACGCGTTGCACCTGGAGGCCTTTCTCGTGGATGTTCTCGTTGCTTCGAGCATCTACTATGTGGGCACCCATAGTAAAAAAAATGCAGACGTGGATGAGTACGAGTCGGTGCAAGCCTTGGGCGGTTTCTCTGTGGGAGGCCTCAGGAGGCCTTGGGAGCTTAGCCAGGTGACGTCGGACATCTTGACCTGCTGCCTCGTTCGAGTTTTGGCCCGCGGCCCAGGCCAAGACAGGGAGCGGTGCGCGATGGCGATGCGTCTCTGAGGTGTTTCCTTTGATGGCCGGGCTTGCCTTCCTGGTCTACAAGCGCACGGAGGCGCTTGGGATGCTCCAGTCCACATTCTACGACATCCACGAGTGGGCATTGCAGCGCAGGCCAGCTCGCCTCTTCAGCAGTTTCGGCAGGCGCAGGCACGAGAAAGAGCGAGTCGAGCTCATTGTAGCTTTGTGTCTGAGCATACATTTCGACCGAGGAGTCTGCACGAGAAGTTGCTAGCAACGGAACAAACGGTGATCTGCGAGTGCCTTTGGCGGAGGCTGGACCGTGATTGTCCAGTGGCATGCCTTCCTTTCGACTCTTTCTGCAAATGTTCATGCATTCCGGGGCAAGGTGCCCATGCAGGCTGTGAATGGTGCGGTGCTCGGGTTCAAGAGTGCACTTGTGCAAAGTGCCCAGGAAGGTGTCAGGGGGGGACACTTGGACGGGGGCGCTTTTATCGTTTCCAGGCTCTGCCGGATCTTCTGTCATCTCCTCCTCCAGTGTGGGCAGCCCGGATGTTGTGGAAGTTGCAGTGCTCAAGACGACAACCAATCTTTGCTTCAACCTGTCACACCCAGGAGGAGAAGAGTGCTTTTGAGATGAACCGCGACCATGCGCTGCTCATGAAGCGGGCAGATCGCAGAAAGGAGATCATCATGCTTGTGCTTTTCGCAATCAGCACAGGCGCCTGGCTCGGTGTTGGTCTCATCAGCTCTAGTAGCCTGCAGTTTGTAAGGCTCTTGAAAGTGTGGCTGCCAAGCTCTTTGCTTGCCTTCCTTGCAAAGCCAATGCTGAGAGAGAAGGATTGGAGTTCGAAGGTACGTTGTGTTTCGGTTTGCCAGATCCCGTACTCAAACTTGCCGCCGGTCACCTGTCTATCCCCGGAGCTCCAGTTCTGGGCTGACACTGAACGAGGTGAGTAAGATTGAGCGATTGATAGTTCGGATTTCCGTTGAGAGACATGAACACGGAGAGCCAATCAACAGGGCCAAGAGGACTTCACCTTGCTTGCCAGAAGCAAACTCTGTCATGCTGTTTGTATTCAATTGCTGCTCCGTGCGCTCCTGTGACAGGCATGTCATTCTACAATGGTATCAAATGCATCGTGTACCACTACGACCCGCGGTTCTTGGCCTTGCAGGGCACGCTGCAAGCTTTGACTATGGTTATGATCAACGTAGCTTCATGGCCGCAGATTCATGTGCAAGCAGGCTGTTCTGCTATCAGTTTGACTGTTCCGTGTCGTGGTGTACATTTCTCGAGCTTGCTTGTCTTGCATGCTTTCAGCCAGCCGAGGAGTACTTCATGCTGAAGAACCTGCTGAACAAGTTCACCGAGGAACAAGGGGAGCCTGTGCCCCAGTTGTCGATCCTGACTATGAGAGCCGCCCACATAGCAATCACCAGCCGGTCGGTGTTCAGGCTCATTCCGCATATCCACATGCACCCGCTCTTCTTTGAGACGGGTCTGAAATGCCATGGTTGTGACGTATGCGGCGACCAAATGAAGGCCGCTGGCGGTTTCGGTTGATGCGACCAAGCTAAGAGCTGCACGTCGCCTGCACGTGCCAGGGCCCACATTATATCGCATACAGATGCAGAACGTGTGACTTCGACCTCTGTCCGCGGTGTTACAAACAGAAGCATGCTTGCAATTAGCTCGTTTTCGTAAAGTTGTTTTGTGTCTGGCAGCTGACCATGAGGAAGGACAAGCACAGCGCAAAAGGTTTTGGTGCACGTTCGGTGCGCCGAGATGGAGAGCAGATCACGACATGGACATACTTCAAGCGCATAGTGTCGCTTGTCTCTGCACTAACCGTTCATGTTGAGTCGAGCATAGGCAGCACCTCTCAATGCGCTAAAAGGCAGCTCTCCATGGAATTCTGGCCTACGCTGGTGGCAGCCGTCACCTGTTTGGTCATCACGCAGGGATTGCAAATCTTTGCACCAAATGTGCAAGGGTCGATCTTCGATGGTATCCTTGCATATCTGAAGAATCCCGAGGGTGGAAGATCAAAGTTTGAGTATGCCATGCTCACCTATGTTATCATCAACATCTTGCAGGGATGCTTCAGCGGCTTGAAAGCCCTTGCGCAAGAACTGGTGCAGAGGCGCATGGCCTGTTCTGTTCGCTTGAAGCTCTTTGCAAGCGTGGTCCGCATGGATATCTCTTTCTTCGACACTATGCACACTGGTCAGCTGACATCGCGCCTGACGAATGATGCCAGCAACCTGGATCAGTGGTTTAGCGATAGCTTAGTTACTCTGGTTCCTTCAGGGTGTTCGGTTGTCCTTCCCAAGTGCTTCTTGGTTGTTTGGACAAGCAAGCATTCGTTTCCCTGTCTCGTCCGGCTCCAGACAATCCTGATGTGAAACGATGACTGTTGTGACACGGAGACGATGGCTATACCACCAGCAGATGCATGCGAAGGGCTGCCTTGTCATATTGACCTCTCCGAAGCTTGCAGTTACTGAAATGATGCGTGCAACCTAGTACACTGGTTTCCAAGAAGCTTTCATATTGCAGCGAAATATATATAGCTCTTGAAGTTGCCAGTCCTTGCAGTGGCACTGAGAACTTGGTACCCGTCTTGTCGTAGTCTTGGTTTGCGGTTTCAGTCTCCGAAAGTAGCTTAGCACAGCGAAATGCACAGCTGCACCAAGGTCAGATGACGCAGCCGCTTAGCACAAATCTTTCGGATATTTGGGGGCGACCTTCAGAGTTTCCATGCTTGCAGCCTGTCAGTCGTAAACCAACCACACTCCTCACGGTTTATGTGTCTCTCTCTCTCTCTCTCTCTTTTTTTTCTCTCTCTCTCTCTCTCTTTTTCTTGCTCTCTCTTTTTTTTATTTCTCTCTCTCTCTCTCTCTTTTTTTTCTCTCTCTCTCTCTCTCTCTCTCTCTCTCTCTCCCTCCCTTTCAACTTTCACTCCCACCCCGCCCACCCTGAGCGTAGGAACCCCACAGTGTTATACCACTCTCTTTGGGCAAATGTGAGAACTCATGCAAGACTCGCCAAGACTGTAACACATGTCCATTCTGTCAACTAAAGTTAGCTTTAAATATGGGAGTTTCCGAAAATAGGGGACCCTAATATAGTCTTTAAATAATAGGATCCTTATTATCATAATATACATTTGAAGATGACCTGACGGAGCTGCTAAGGCCGCTAAGCACATTGATGAATGATCTGCTGGCCAACGTTCTCTTGCTGGCACCACAGCTGCAGTTGATGCCAATGTTTGTCAGAACGGGACAGCAAAGAGTGTCCTGGGTTGAAGCAGTTCTCATGATACCGTCACCTCAGAGGTGGGCGGCATGTTCATGGCTTTCCACACTTCTTGGAAGTTGTCGATCCTTGCACTTACAATTGTGCCTCCGATCACCTACAGCTACCGTGCATATGCCAAGTGGGCCCGGAAAATCACCAGATCCATCTATTGCGCCTATGGTGAAGCGAACAGCACTGCGACGGATGCCATCAGCAACATCCGTACAGTACGTGGCTTTTCAACCGAGGAGCACGAGGCCTTCAGATACTCAGACAGCATCAACACAGCCTTGGGCCACGGCGTGAGGAATGCTTACGTTGGAGCCTCGGTGACCGCCTTCTCAACATATCTCAATTTGGGCACGGCAGTGCTCATCTTGTGGTACGGCGGCCAGCTTGTTTGTGACGAGAAAGGCGAAGTGATGAGCATCGGCTCTCTCATCACCTTCCAGCTTTATTGGAACATGATGAACAATGCCTTCATTGCTCTCGGGAACGTCTTCAATGACTTGATTCGTTCCTCCTCAGCGGCGGAACGTGTGTTTTCATTGATCGATGCTCGTCCCGATGTCAATCCCGATGATGGTGAGGAAGTCACACGCGATTGTGTCAAGGGACACCTGCAGCTTCGTGGCATTCAATTTCGTTACAGGTCTCGGCCCGAGACCTTGGTTCTAAAAGGAATTGACATGGACATGCCCCCTGGGACCACCACGGCTCTTGTCGGCAAGAGTGGAGGTGGAAAGAGTACCTTGGTTCATTTACTCATGAGGTTCTACGAACCAACTGGCGGGGAAATACGCCTGGATGGCCGGAGTATGACGACCCTGTCCTCCAAGAGTGTTCGAAAATGTTGTGGGTTCGTCGCGCAAGACACGCAGCTTTTCTCTTCCACCATAGTTGAAAACCTTGCCTATGGAATTGGTAGAGACTACACACGTGATGAAGTAGTTGAAGCTTGTCGAGCAGCCAATGCGCATGAGTTCATTCTGGAAATGGAAGAAGGTTATGACACGCGAGTTGGAGAGAAAGGAATTATGCTTTCTGGCGGACAGAAGCAGCGCTTGGCAATTGCACGATGCTTCCTTCGAAAGCCGCGGATGCTATTCCTGGATGAAGCAACATCAGCTCTTGATGCAGAGAACGAAGCGATTGTGCAGGGTGCGCTCGAGTCTTTGCTATCTGAGCTGAACAGCACAGTTGTGCTGATCGCTCACCGACTGAGCACGGTCATCAATGCAACGCAGATCTGTGTCGTACACAAGGGAACGATTGTGGAGCGTGGCAGTCACGATGAGCTCGTCGCCGAGGGCGGAGTCTATGCCCAACTTGTCAGTCGGCAGCTTTCCCGTGATGCAAGTGCCGTGATGGATTCCAAGAAGGATAAGATAAAGCCTTCCTCGAATCTCGACAGCCCCGGTATGTGCAGTCAGTTTGCACCAGGCGACAGGTTGGTCTCAGGCTCTTCCCTCGCCGGAGTTTGCGCACGGTTCTCACCTAAGGAAGGCGACTGAGATCGATGCCTTCAGCTCAGCTCCTGTAGGGTCATCAATTCCGTCATCATGTCTCACCATCAGCTTGTTAATTATACGCTTGATTCAGGATTTGATCGAGGAGATGGAGCAAGCAGGTACTGTAGGGTTTCTGCATTGCAGACTGCGGTGCGCACAGATTGTGAACATGAGCTTAGTGCTCGCAGGCGGCAAGTTGGGAGAGTGAAGGCAAGGGCACTGAGGCCTGGATGCGCCGGAGTAGTTGGCACCTAGGCCCGGTCAAGCCGTTGGGCCTGAGCTGCCGAGGCGAACTTGGTGCAGGATTTCGCTTCGCGTCTGAGCTATTAGAAGTTTTTTTTTCGAGGTAACGAAAGGACCTCCAAAGTGGAATTAGCCGTTGCTGACTGCGCGTGTGCTGCCCAGCCTGAAAGGCTTGGAGGAAAGCGCTGCATCCATACTTGATGCGCTAGCGTGGTGAGCATCAAAAGCTTTCCGATCCACAGGATCGCATCGGCGATTCAGTCGAACAATAGCGCAACTCTGTCTGAATTCAACCAATAGTTACAATAGTTTCACTGCGTGCAGAGGCGTCTTTTCCGACAGCTTTAGCTTCTGCAGGATGTGTCTTAGCACCAGCCCTGACGTCGTTAAGACGTAGACCAGCGCTGTGTACAGCTGATTGTGCTACTGCTAAAGATAAAAATGCCGAAGCGAGGTGACATGTTCAGTCCAGGAGCTGCGCAAAGTTGGTGCATTGGAGGGCCAAGTCTACAAGATGCGTGACTTCGTGTGTCTTCCCAGCAGTGGCACCAGCAGGCACATGGTCCGAGCCCGAGTCGCTGGGGATTTCACTGTGAACAATATTGTTGCACAGGGGAGTGGACTACATACAGAGCATGGGGCGGATCACGCTGAAGTACGTTTTCGGCCAGGCTGCGGCCTGTCTGAAGTGAAGTAAACAAAACGACACACCCTTCCGAACTTTCGCTCTGTAGGCTTCGCTGTGTGCGGGAGACCTCTGCGTGGAGCTGTCCAGCTGGGAGCTAAAGGTGAAGGCGACTGGCTGCCTGGATGCCCGCCCCTTGCGCCACACAATATGAGAAGCAGTAGCCGTGGCAGGCTGTGGGAAGACAGGATCTGGACAGCCTCCTGGCCCCAATCAACGGCACCCTGTCGGGAGCTTACCAAGCACTTCTAATAAGCGTCTCACTTCCGTTCGGCTCGGTCTTGCGCTAATACTATAGGACCTCTCTTGCGTTGCAGGTACGGAGATGTTAGGCGGGACCTCTCATGGTGGACTTTGGAGATGCAGGCTTGATGCGCGATGTGTCATTCTTGAGGAGAACACATGCTGACTGCAAGGAGGATGGAAGTAATGTCTTCACATTGGAGCTGGCTAAACGAGATCACAAGGTGTGTGCTGCTGGTGCGCCAATCAGCCGCCAAGCCACTGCAACAAATCCGTGTTTTCCTCCTAGGCTTGGAATGCGGTCCGAAGCTCACAACCTTGACAGGTTCTGCACCTAGCTATTGAAGCATGAGCCTGGCTTTTCCAAAGGTTTGGAAGCTTGGACTGAGCCACCACCGCAAGCACCTAGCTCAGTGCAGGGCAGGCGCATGTGACATCTCGTGGTCGAAAGCAGCTGAGGAGCCATTTCGGTTGGACTCCTACGGCTCGCACGCCGGTAAAGAAGGCGGAAGACATGCTTGTCAAGGTGGGCAGCCTATCGGGCCTTTGGCAGCCTCTCCTCCTCTCCTCCCCGCCGCGACTTTGGCTTGCGGCGGCAGGTCAAGCCTGGCCGGCTGCCAAGAAAGCAGGACTGGGACTGCCAGCATTCCCCCCGGCCTCCGTGTGCGTGCGGCAGGAGGCTTTCGTGGCTCGTCGGGAAGATCTCTGCTGTTCTCTGGAAGATGGCCAGGCGGAGTGCTCGGAAGTCGTCCGAGATGTCAGAGCCTGAAGGCACATCTTTTGGCTTTGCCCCTGCTCAGGACGACAAAACCGCCGTTTTCCGAATCCATTTGGACAAGGCGGCCCTGGAGAAGGCGCTTTTTGAGCCACAGTTGAGCTACAGCTGAATAGCGACATGCTCCAGCGGGCGCAGCGAAGCGCTGGAGGCCTGTGAGGTCACCTGCCTCGCGGATTTGTTTGGAGTGGATGTCATGGAGCAGTGCCCGACTGTTCCACTTCAGCTCAATTTCACGGCACGACGTGGAACCTGAAGAAAATGCACTTCTCAAGGTACCTGAAAGTGTTCATCAGAGGAGATGACAAATCTCCGATCTTGATGGTGCCACTGCTGCATAGTGCGGGGTTCTGTGTGAATCCCAGCTCTGCCTGTCGTTTCAGGGGAAGCTCTTTGACAAGATTGTTCCTGACAAAACACGATGGGACATCATTAAGGCACGGCTCTGTGCTTTATGCATGCGTTGATGTCGTTGAAACCGCAGTAGAGTGCACGAAGGCAGCAGCTCCGGCAGAAGCTGAGGAGCTACGGGCTCAGTCTACCATGGACCCGGTTCTTCTAGGAGATAAACAGCGTCGAGTGTATCCATTTTATACTTACTGCTTTCGGAGACTTCTATCCCTCCCTCACGCCACGACGACACGAACGTTCTGCACTGCTTGTAGCAACCGGTGGATCTCGAGCCTTCGTCAGGTCGGTCGTCCCGTCCTCCGTCCGGGGTAACGTCGTGTCATTGCCATCCCGCTCAGATGACTGCAAGGTCGCAGGTGAAAAAGTCCGGGCAGTACAACACGTGCTTGCAGGTGGCTGCATTCATCACAGCTGTCGCGTGCTTCTGCGTCGTCCGTGTCAGGTGACGCTCACGAAGGCAAGGCCCTCCAAGAAGCACTGGCAGAACCCTCAGACAGAGCCACGAAGAGAGAGGCACGGAGAGCACCTATGAGCACCTAAAACCCTTCTTTTTGCATCGAGCCACGGGCCCTAGGCCGCAGCTGCTGGAGGAGAACGAGTCGCTCGGGCTTGCACAAAAAAAGCCACCCGCGAGGGGTCACAGTGAGAAGTTCCGAGGCTTGTCCTGCAGAGAGAAGCGGCGCCTCAAATTCAGGCAGACCTTCCCATGTGCCATGATGCCTGGAAGTGCAACGTGGCATCCCGCAGTTTGTCCTGTTGTTGGGAGGACTTACACTCGAAGGCGCTGCGAGCAGCATCGCCGGACCGCAGCGGCTGGTCGCCCGAGGCACACAATCGCATACTCTGTACCGTCGCCTCAACCGTGGACTCCGGCAAACTCGTCTTCGCCAGGAGCTCGCGCGAGACTTCAAACAGAAGGCGGGCGGCTTTCAATTGGCATGCGAAAGAAAGTGTCCACACGAGACTGGACCTTCCGTGAAGTGGCCGTCGCTTGCTGAGGGATGTGACGTCAGGCCGATGGATGCTTCAGAAATTCATCCTGGCGTGATGCAGCCGTGCCCTGGCATGGTCGCCAGAACGAGGACGTCGTGTCTTGGGAACTGTCTTGAACGTGACCAGCACAGGTATACTACACTCGAGCCTTGAATCAGACGCCCCACGAAGAGAAGCCCCTGCCCAAGATCGTGGTACAAAGATTGTTGCAGTAGATCCGGTAGCCATCTAGTTTTCGAGCGCTTTTGCAGCCATAGTCTTTTTGCGTGTTTCTTCCCAGCGGCACCGAGGCTTTTCTCAAACCGATCTGCATGCTATGTGAAGCTCAAGAAGTTTGACAAGGCCATGCTTTAAGATCTTTAGGAAGGAAGCAGCGCCACAAACCGGGCTTCGCAGCGGCTCCATCCCGAGGCTTTGGCAGATGCCAAGAAGTGTGTCTCGCTGAAGCCGGAATGGCCCAAGGCGTCGGCGCATGCACACACGTCCCGATTCACCGGACACCACAAAATGGAGTGTGAGGCTTACTTCAGGCTTGGCCAGGCCCACCGAGGCCTCAAGCAATGGGAGGCCAATGGTTCCGAGGGCGAGCCCGGTGCCCCCATGGTTCTACGCTCCTCTGTGCAGGAAGCCATTGATGCCTTCAGGGAAGGTCGCTTCCGGGAGCCGTCGAACCAGGCCGTCGATGCAGCCCTGAGATAGTGTGCTGACGATGTCGTGGTCGGGATTCAGGAATGGGCAAAGGAACTTGAGAAGACGGAGGACAGCCCAAAAGCAAGTTATCCCTGGCTGTGGTGAGCATCGCAACAGATCTCAATCAGAAGCTGTGTGGTTTTCAGCAATCTGTCAAACGATGCCTCTGCAATCACCTCAGGAGCAACAGGCAAAATGGGATGCTGAAGCAGCGTTTGGGCCTTCCGCGGCTGTGTGACATGGGGCCGTCGGCACTCGTGTATCCAAACAGGGAGCAGAGAAAGCTGAAGAGGGAAGCAGACATGGTGACGGAACTCAACGAGGTGGTCGATTGCGGTTGTGAGCGGGGCACGCTTGCACGAAGACTCTTGAAGTCTGCAGAAATGGACAGGCTACCGTGGTAGCCGAAAGGGAAGCCATGGTCGCGGTGGCTGAGCAGGTGGGCTGCAGCGAGCTGACCACATTTGTGCACGCTGCCGTTGCGGGAATGAGAATTCCTATGTGCAGGGTTTACAGGCAGCCCCTGAGGTCTGTCTGCTGGAGGAAGCACAAGGGGTCGGAGTGTTTGGCACGTATCGGGCATAGTTGGAATTGGAGGATAAGGCTTGCAAACCCTCCGCCTTAGAACGTATTGGTGAGTCTACGCCCTGAGAAGATACGTTGTGCTTGTCGCCAAGAATGCCCAAAATGCAAACACAACATGAGCCTCACTGTCGAAATGACGAGAGTAGGAGTAGTAGTAGTACAAGTAGTAGTAGTAGTAGTCGTCGTCGTCGTCGTCGTCGTCGTCGTCGTCGTCGTCGTCGTGGTAGTAGCAGTGGCAGTGGCAGTGGGTTTGCATCTGCATTGGTCAAATCGTCTACCTGTGGCATCTGGCTCAACCCACAGCTTTTCAGCATCAACCGATTGCTGGGTGCAAGCCTCAGTGTCTTCCGTTGTTCAAAGAGGAGCGAGAGTCTGCACAAGTCGAATATCTAAGGTGCTTGGCGCAGCTGCCAAAAGTGTAGCTCCTGTTGCAGTGTACAGGACACCTTTGCCGAAGGCCCTAAATAATACTGATCTGATGCAGGACCAGTGATCGCAGCCACGTTAGCACACGAGAGTGCGCTTGTAAAGGCCATCTGGTGTCCCTGAACATCTGAGCAAATTAGTCCGAGCAATGCCAGCAGCTGAGTCAGCGGAGCGGCATGGGTAGCGCCCCCTCTGTGTCCCTTTAGGCCGCTTCTTTCTACCGTTCCGCAGAAGGCTGGTGGCACGGCGCGCTCCCCAACTGAGCCACAACCCAAGCCGAGCTCGAATCTCCCGAACGGCATCCGCCCAGGCCGATGTGCAGAAATGCGTGCCTACTTTGCCTGGGGCTCTGAGAAGAGCTGAACTTAGCATCTGTGGGTCACGGTCTGCTGCACTGCGCATCAGAGGTCCGAGAAAGCTGCCTGCTTAGTTGCTCCGACAGTGAATACGACACGACTTCGCACACCGGACTGTTGTCTATAGGTGCTCGCAGTGGATGCCAACCTGTAAGCTTCTGTTCATGAGGCGGCACTCTCCAAGACCAAGAGCGAATCAGGACGGCATGTCGGCACAACTCCGACCTCCATGAAAAGTCGATAAGCGAGCGAGCCGATAAAAAACAGTAAGCCGATGAGCCCTGCTAAGCGCTGCTGCTTCCTTTCCTTTTCTTTCCATGGCGCGCTTACTTGGGCAAGTCTTTGACTTGGCCATCCGAGGACAGCGTAACCCTGGCTGATTCAACAGCTGCGATAGCTCAAAACATGCAGGTGGGAACCCATCCGCACCGATAGCTCCAACAAGCAATGGGTAGCGGTGCCACGTTCCAATTTAAACCAGACCACCCGTGCCATTAAATTCTCGATCCAAAATGCTGCTGCTGCTACTGCTACTACTAGTAGTACCAGTGCTAGTACTACTAGTACTCTGCACGGTTCAGGGTTGAGGGTTTAAGGTGCAGAGTTTGGGCTCCAGGCTCAACCCATAAAAGCAGCGGCTTATTGGCTCATTGGCTGTTTGGGCTCGTTTCGTGCCAGCTGAGAGCTGTTTTGTGGTTTTGAGACTTTGCATAAAACCTCACCGCTCCCCACCCCAAGCCTGGCGTTGACGCGATTCAGAGAATCCACACACTGAAAGCAAGGAGCTTAAACATGTCAGAACATCGTTCCTGGCCCCTTGCATAGACGCCACTGGTCCAGGACCCAGAAACCCAAACACAAACAAAAAGCGCCCCCCAAACCCAACTCTTCTGTTCGGCTTAGAGCTGCCTCTGCCACTAGATTTTATCGATTCTCACCCGGCCCTGGTGGCCCTGGTGCTTGGGTTGTTCCGCAATGTTTTGAGATTTCTTGGAGGAGTGATCTTATCAACCGAGGACTCTTGCCTGTTGCACTTGTCATCGGGATTGGCCCATGCCTGCCGGTGACAGAAGCGACGTGGTAGTGTTTGCAGCGAGGAGATTAAAGTGACCACGGGTCCTGCAAATGGAGAGGTCAAGATTTCGGTGCTGCTGACATGCTTGGCGTGCAGCACTAGACTGGCAGGAAGGTTTGTGTTGGCAGGTGCCTCGCTTCCTTGGCCAAAAGGGCAAGAACAAGCTTGGTCCGAGACTCTGAGTTCAAGGGTTCCAGATTGTTTCGAGACTTTACATCAGATCTTCTCTCTGTTTGTAGCGCCAGGCGCGCCTCCTGGTCTTGAGAGCGGCCGCAGCAAACCCCCTGGAATTCATTTTGCCCCGTCGCATTCTCAGCCTATTGGAAGTTGTGGAAGATCTTGGCTAGAAAGCCGAAGCTGAGGCCCCCCGGCTTGAGCCGCCAGCCAATGAAGGCCCGCGGGCAGTTTGCACAGAGCGTGCAATCGGAATTCCTCAGCTTGCAGCAGCTTGCAGGTTACAGAGCCAGATATCAGTAGTTCGCTCTCGCCTCGGCTTCTCACTGCAGACCATCTGCGACAGGAGTTCCGGTTCGCGGCTCACGCGGCTCAGGCTGTCAGGCCTACCTCCGCCACCGTTCCCATCCCCAGCTCGGGCCCCGGGCCCCTGCAGGGCCCCTGCAGGGCCCCTGCAGGGCCCTGGCTCTAGCTCGCCACGAAGTGCCGAGCCTCATGGAGCCTCTGACACTCTCAGGAATCCGCCAGCAACTCCTCTTCTGAAGACGAGATCCAGCACTTGCCAGACAAGGAGGCAAGAAAGTGAGGAAAGCTGTTCTGCCGGGCTGCAAGCACGCTGCCTTGCTGCGCCCTTAATACTGCGAATGTCGCTAGCGTTGTGCGGCGAAGGCTGGACTCAGTGACGGCGACAACAGTACTGCTGACGATGAGCAGCAGGAGATGTCCGTGTTGCTAGATCTTGCTGCTTCTCAAGAGAGTCAGCTCTGATTTTGGCATCACAGGCGCAGGCAGATACTGACATTTGCAAGCCGCTCCCCACGCTCCTGGGCTCGACCCCGCTTCCGTCTTTGCTCGGCTCTGCACCTCTCTATGGAAAGCCAGGGCCTTCGATGCTCCGACGATGTTGCACCTGTTGCCTAGTGCATTGGCCCAGGTCGATCATCGAGAAATTCCCCACTGCATCCAAGGCCTTTCCGGACAAGTGTCGGCATGCCATGCGTTGCCATGCGAAGTCCTACCCTGCAGGCCGACAAGATGGAGCCAGCTCGCGTTTCTGAAGTCACACCTTCGTGATCCACTTGCCGATTACGTTTCAACTTCACGCATGCAACAGGCCAGCTGTTCTGCGTGCCTGACACCAGTCACGAAAGAGTCTGCCTTTTCCGGGATGGGGTGAAGCTTCGTTTCCATGCCATTCCTTGATGCATCCCACAGCAGCTGAACGGCAGGAGCCAGAGGGTGAACTCAGATTCTACTGCTCGAACTGACTGTTCCGACTGCGGAGAACTTGAGTGATCTTGTGCTCGTCAGACAGGGTTCCACATGATGAGACAGGGCGGTTCAAGACGTGTTGAAATGACCCTTTGGAGTTGAGGATGGATTCGGAGCTTGCTTGCTCAAGTCCAGGGAAGCTTAAAGAAGGGTTCGGGAGCTCAACGCAAGCAAGACGAAGACTTTGGGGCCTTGTCGGGGAGTCCAGCCAAGCCGAAGCCTTCGCCATTCGCCTGACAGAGCTCCGCGCGCCCTGTGCCAGGCTGCGGAAGCTGTGACCCCGAGCGCTCGGAGCGGGAGAAAAAAGCGCCGCGACCAACTCTGCAGCATGCAAAGCGAAGAGAGCCCAGACTTAGACGGCCCGTCACGAGACTCTGCGCCTTGCTTGCTGCGCCTTTGCACAGGCCATCCAGGCGGGAAAGAGCCGCAAGGAAGCTGGCGAGCTTGCACTCAAGGCCAGAAGACTCGTCAGGAGCAGATCATCTGCCGGCTTCATGACCGCTATCAATCATTCACACTTCTGCACGTGCTGCGGCAGCTTCTGTTCAAGCTGTTTGTTGACTTTTTGTGTAGCTGTTGGCGACAGTTCGCATTGCCAAGTGCCTCGGCTTATGGCTTGTGAGATGTAGGGTGGTGCGGACTCGTGGACTTTGCCGTGAAGTGTCCTGAGCGCTCCGGCACGAGGTTGCTGTGGTCGCAATGTCTTGCTGTGAACCTTTTGGCGGCCCGAGGAGTAAGTCGTGTCAGGACGTAGTATGCTCTGCCCGTCCATAGAGCATTGTTCTGGCCCCTCTCCGACCTTTTGCTTCGGATCTGGAAAGCCTCGTCAGGATATGCTCAAAATAGAGTCAGACGCGATGGATGCGCGTCGATTGGAGAATGCTGTGGGCGGCTTACCTTCAGACGTTACGAGCTGCCTGATGCGGCATCGTCGTCTAAGGTATGGAGATTGTACCAAAAAGAAAGGTCAATGTCGGCCGGACACCCAGGACAAGCCCCCAGGCAGGAGGCCCGGTGTGGCGTGTTGCGAGGATCTCGCCTCTCTCGTAGAAGACCAGGATGAGGAGCAGGTACCTGGTAAGAGTTCGATCTGATGGTTGCTGAAGATGGTGAGTGATACTTCTGCAATGCAGGACGTGGAGACTCTCATGCGGAAGAAAGCACAGAGCACCATTGGAGAGAAGTGGGGCACTGAAAGTGCCTGACGTTCTGGGATTTGCTTGCTCCGCTGCATGCCTGCGACTAGCAACACTTGCACGACGCTTCCCTCGAGGCTCAACTTCACAGATGTGCGGTTTGACTTGAGCGAGTTGCTGCCTCAGCATCTTCCAACTTCATGAGCTTGCACTCGGCAATGTCCAATGTCTGGCGTTTTTAGAAATTTCTTGACCATTGCATTGTCCTTTCCACGGGCCGCTTGCACTCCCAAAGCAAAGTGTTTCCAGGCTGCAGTCCGACTACGACGACCTGCCGACGTTCCCGATCAGACCAAACTTTGCAGGCCTGTGTGGGCTGAAGCCTGGACAGAAGAGTGCGAGTTACTGGTTGCTTGGTGCTGTCTCTGGATGACTTCCTCTGGTGCGTGTGCGGGGGACTGCCTGAGCCTGCAGGCTTCAAGAACGAGCTTCAGCCTGCATCGCAGTGTGTCGTTTTTGATGGATGTCCTGAGGCCGGACGATGTCGAATGCCTTGCGTTGATTGTCCCGATTGTGTCTTGCAGGACCCTTACCATCCATCCAACACGCCCATCTACCAGACGGCCACCTTTGTGCAGCCGTGGCTTGGCAGAGTTGCAGCAAACGCTTGACAACGGAGGTCTGGGATCTTGGAAACATGTTGAAGTTTCAAGAGACATGGCACAGCGACGCCACTTGCTGAGATCATCCTCGCAAGCACGAGGCACATCCTATGACGCCTTTTTTTGTAATTATTTCCCGGGCAGGTGGGCTGTCTCATGCTGACAAACGTAGCTTGCAAACCTTGAATGCCTCTCCCGGATTGCTAGACCCGCATGCATGATCCTCAATGCTTTAGAGAAGTGTTTTTGTGGTTCTCGTCGCTTCAGCTTCGACCATGTGCTTCAAATATCCTTATTGCTTGTTCAGTCGCGCATCCAAGGTCCTCGAGTGAGTTTGGACCTTACGACTACTCCCGCTCGGGCAATCCCACAAGGCTATAAGTGTTGGTTGTTCTTCGGCAGCCATGTGACGGTTTCTCATGTGCAGGACTGCATTGGAGAAGCATGTCGCGATGCTGGAACAGGCTCCGTCGGTAAAAACCCGTACGTTTTCTCGGCTTGGTTGGGTCTCAGCGCAGGCAGCGGCCGCCTTTGCCTTTGCGTCTGGCATGGCCGTCGGAGAGCTGAGATGCTTACAATCTGTAATCTGCCGAAAGCTCGTCTGGTTATGTCTGGGTATCAGGCACTGCACACAGTGACCCGCTTGCTAAAGTACGGAGACCAGGCTGGGACATTCACGGGATGTGCCCTGGGCCCCGATGAGGGGCACAAGAGTCATCTCTCGAAGGTGATTGCAAACGAGGACATCTATGGTGGCATGCACAGGCTCCTGACACAGGAGCACGGGGGAGATGATCATGGTTGTAGGCGGAAGCAGGCAGAGATGTGATTCATCATGTCCTGCATCTTTGTAAGCACGAGTGAATTCTAGAAGGATTGCACAAACAGTGGCATCGATGCCTCTTGTCCTAAATCTTACACGCCTTCGGCTTCTGTCCGACGCTGCTTTGCAGTGCACCTCTTGTGCAGCTGGCTCAGCAGAGGTCAAGTTCGTGGACACGACAGACCTCAATGCTCTCAGCAAGGCTGTTTTGGTAGTGGCGCAATGGCAGTGACGATATCTTCTAGTCGAAAGGCTATCACTCCGAAGACTCGCCTCATTCATCTGGAAAGCCCGCGCAGCTCTCAGTGCGTACTGCTATGTGCAGGAGACGTTTCTTGGAAATTGATGGTGCCGAGGTCGAATCCCAGGATGAGAATCACAGACATCAGAGGCGTTTGTGCCATTGCCCACAAGTTGGAGGCTCAAACAATGTTCCAAGTATTGACATTTGCAGCTCTGCCAGACAGATGTTTGGAGCGCTATCTTGAGTTTGACAACTCAGCACTGTTAAGGCATGGGATTCTCGTCAGCGTGGACAGCACCATGATGCCGCCAGTGATCTGCAAGCCACTCACCCTTGGTCTGCATCTCAGAGCTCGGGTACTGTGACACTTGCGCAGGTCTCCTGAGTGTGGAAAAGTGTGGGTCAGCATTCGCCTTGGGGAAGGCGTTGACATCGTGGTGCACTCTGCCACAAAATTCTTCTCGGGCCATGCCGACTGCACTGGCGGGCTAGTCTGCGTCCGCCATCCTGTCGGGGCCCGACTCTGTTCTCCGCAAGTCCAAGCGACAATGAGCTGCGCCTCAGGAGCTCGCTCATCGAGTGGCTTTCCTGCAGAATGCCGAAGGCACGGCGCTGGCTCCCTTCGAGTCTTGCACTCAGTTCCTAGTTCTGGCAGTGGCAGAGATGTCGTCAGAGAGAGAGAACTAGCCGGGGGGATACTTGAGTGGCCAAGGTGCTTCCTTTTTCTACGTGGCATCAAGACCATGTTCTTGTTCGGACCACAGTGCATTCGCGCAGAGCAAGGAAGAGGAAGGCTCTGTTGCTTACAGCGCACCCGCACAGGCGAGTGGAGCGCGCGCAGCAAAATGCACGCCGAGCTGAGACCTCAACGTTGCAACGCATGTGGTCCCGTTCGGAGGTCCAGGACGCTACGGGGCTACACGGGAAGCTTGACTAAGGTCGTCAACTTTTTGCTTAGGAACAAGCACATCAACCAGGCATGGACCTGAGGCTGTTTAGCTCTGTAGCACCTCTCCATGGCCTTCTCTCAAAAAGGTGTTTTTCCCTGGCCCCGGGGGATGCGATCCCACCAGCCAGATGCTCAATGCGACCGGGGACATGGGGGGGGGGGGGGGCTTTGCTGCCGAAGCCTAAACCCAATATCGCTCCTGGAGGCTTGGCCATTCATTGGTCCCAAAGCAAGGGCAGTGGATCAGTGATCAGTCTGACCACAGGACAGCTCTGAGGGCCATAGGAAAGCAGCTCAGCGTCTGCTCCGCAGGATCAGTCGAGTTTTCTCGGCGCCTGGTAGATGCTTGCCGGGCGCCTGGCGGGCCTGGCGGGCCTGGCGGGCCTGGCGGGCCTGGCGGGCCTGGCGAGCCTGGCGTCAGGTTCGGAAGGGTCCTTTGCAGTCGATGCCATGGGCAATTGAGGCAAGATTTTCAAGACCACAGTGTCTTTCGGCAGCTGGAACCTCAAGTGTTTGGAACTTGAGGTTGTGCTGCTACCGGTTTGCTTTGCTGCATGCACGTTCAACTCAAGCTTGAAGGTGTAAACAGTCTGCTCGAAATGCCGTGCACGATGAGCCGGGCACTTTGATTGGCATGTTGGTCCTGCGTGTAGCCGCGATAGCTTCACGAATGCCACGCAATTTCTGATAGCTCATCTTTTAATCCAAGTTCATGTTGGCCAATGTTGCATGGCACTCCTGACGTTCTTCTCTTTTTGAGATCGTTGGCCCCGTTGACATTCTGATTCTTGCCTCGCCACAAGGGATTCTTTTCGCTGAGGCCATGCCTCGATTCCAGCTGAGAAGAGGACATTGGCTGATGACCTGATCAGGACGCTGCGGACCTGCAAGCTGACGTCTACCTTCACAAAAGCAGCCCTGATGTGTGTCACTGTTTGTTCCTGCGCGTGTTCCGCGGAGTGGGACCAAAATCATCTTCTACCGTAGTTTGTACGCCATGCTGCGACATGTTGCGATTTGTCGCTTCAGAACGGGCTCGACGTATCTTGCAGTCTTGCAGAAGAACTACAACGAAGAGTGAGAGCAACCTGCTGTTCTTCGCAAAGTATCATAATTGGCATGCATCCGATGTATCCAACAACTAATGGAGGTTCTTGCATGTGGTTTCGACTGACTCGCCAGACCTGGCTTTGAAAGCATGCTTGTCTTTCAACCGCATTGCTTGTTAGCGTTCTTCGTCTGCTGCGCTTTTTTCCTCTTGATTTTCGGGTATGATACATTATCTACATTAGTGAATCTTGAAAGTAGCTCCGGCTCGCCGGTGCATCGACACTGTTTCACGCTGCTGTCCTAATGTGCTGTGTTGATATAATACGGCTGAAACACGGATAGAAACCCCTAGCGCAGTTTATTTCCACGAGCAGCCGAGCTGTCTAAGGAACAGTGAAACTGCAAATCTCGACTTTGGTCTTAAAGGGAGGTGTGCGAAACCGCTTTAGGCCCGGCAGTAGAAATGACCTTGTGACCTGGTCAACTCCGTGCAAAGAGCATGAGAAATCGCTGCAGGATCTCGGTTGGTATCGAGGATCCACAGGATCTCATCGCGGATCTGGACCAAGCTATCAAGGCGGATTCGCTGCGAACATCCTGAGCTTCGTCGCAAGTGGCACGAAGCACGCTGCAGGTTGCTGCCGGAGAGCTTTGCTCGAGTCCTCACGGAGGTTTTGACAGCCAGTTCCAGGAGCTCGATTGTGGCTTTCAACAGGGACAGAGTGCGTTGTGCTGCTGCGAGGACCTACCCATTGTGCCCCACATCGAGGCAAAGGGCCACCAGGACGGGAATCGGAGTCACTCCGCACTCCGCACAGCAGCCACTCGTCTCGAGGAAGATGAAGTCTCGACGAGGGCTCCGTCTGCACTCAAAGCGATGTCCTCCCCAGGTTCCTTTGGAGCATTCGATGCCAGAATTGGAGCCACGCATTCCTGCTGCTCTGGGAGTCTCAGCCAAGGCGAATCTGATGCTGGCTGTGCAGAGGACGACAACAAGGACACCCTCGTGCCGGTTGAAACATGACATACAGAGCTGTTCGCACAAGACATTGCAAGTGAGCGTGTGTTGCGCTTTCCGGCATATTCGTTGTGAGGTTTTTCCCAGACTCTTCTTGAGGGTACAAGTATGTTGAGGCTGTATTGTGCTGTAGCAGACTGCGTTGGAGCTCACTTCTGCTTCGAAAGCAAAGCGAGTCCTCACAACCTCAGAATGGCGTTTTACGCAGGAGCTGCAAAACACTTCCCGCTTCCTTGACGTGTCCTTCTCGATTACCTGCGCAGCATTCGCAGGCACAGTTATACAGGTGTTTGCTACGGGTACGTCGAAGTGGGACAACAACTCCGTGCCGTATTGTGCTTAAACGTGTGTTCTGAGCCTGTGCAAGAACTAGGGGTCACCTCTGTGTTGATGACAGGTAGGCCGGTGTCAGGCTAGGGCGAATGACCTGTGAGAAGGTGATTGATGTGGTTGTGAAATGGAGGCGTGAAGTGTGCAAGGGTGCTAGAAATTTACGTTTACTCCTGGTACTTAGATGCCGTAAATCGCACAACAACATTGACAGTCAGGGGTTGCTGACCAGTTCTAACGTTCCCTGGCTCAGTCTGTGCGCTGATGATCGCGCAGCTGCGAAAGTGAGGATTGCTCTGCCATTTTTCCGAGTGCAATCAGAGACTCAACGCTTTTCCGGCGCCGTCTCGGCGAGCATCAGGAGTCGGAGTGGCATTGAGGTCTAGATAGTGGTCCTTTAGCAGCCAGACCACCCTGGCCTGTAAGACTCCCAGCGGAGCAGAGCAGCGATGCTCGGAGTCGTGCTTAAAAAGCGCGAGCCTCCTAATCCAAGTCCGACCTTGCTCGTAGAGCTCAGCGACTTTAAGAGTGTTAGCCACGGCCATCAGCCTACTGCCGAAAGTTTTGTTTGATAGGTGCAAGGTCATAGAGGTGAGAGACACCTCTGAATCTGTGTAGCTGGCCCAGTCGGCCGGAGTGTGTTTACCAGAGCGCTGGACTGTTTTTTGTTTGTGGCGGTTTCTAGATGCAGCAGCTTTCCTACGGGTTCATATTGGTTGAGCAGCTGGTTTAAGCATAGTGTTGCTGACGACATTCGGCGTCTTTAGCCCCCATGCTGGCAGGGCATGGAAGCTTTTCCTGGCGGAGCGCCGAACAAACAGTATCTCAAAGGTCTGCCAAGCGCAAAACTTGAGAGCCATGGTAGAGTCGGCAACCGAGCTGGCTCACGCCAAGCCTGTAGGCTTGAGCAAATCCTTCCAAATCGGTGAATTTCGATGCAAGCGCCGGGTCTGTGGCTGTTTGAGCTTAAGCAAGAAGCCTGGGCCATGAGATGCGCAAGGCACCACCAAGAGAGGCAGTTGATCAAAAACTACACGGGAGACATACTGCAATCCAAGCGGTTCTCAAGCGCACGACACAAAAGGCAGGCCGTATCGAGCCGTGTGCATCAAGTCGTCTTAGATGCGATGCCTCTCGGCGCGTTTCACGGCAGTCCTTGGGCTTTCCTGCTGTCCATTCATGTAAGAACACGGGAAGGGTCCATCGAAGTCGCCCGAGTTAGAGCACAGCGCGGGAACCGCTTTTCCAAAAGCGAATCCCGTAGCACTCTGCGGAGTGCCGATGCTATGATTACACTATTCACACTGCGGTGGCAGTACCTGAGGAATCTAGCCCGAGCTGAGCAAAGAAACAACGCATCGTAAGATGCCTAACCGATGTATTCAGAATTCCATGTAGCATGTTCCAGCCTCCACAGCTGACCAGGAGGATGCAGTCAAATTGGATGTCCCGTTGGTCTGCCGCCGCAGCACTTGGCCATTCCTTGTGGATGGACGTGCGGTTTTGTAGAGATGCGAGCCCGCTTGGCCTGCGGCTTGTTGCTGAGCTTTACAGCCCACCTTGTTCGAAGTCCCAACTGGATAGCTTAAGTAAGCTCTCAACCCAGGATGGCCTTAACACTTCGAGAGGGGTGTCGTCGGTGGATGTCGGTGGTCTACGCACCGGTGGTCTATGCACAATCTCCTTGATGAGAAAAGGTTGTTGCATGTGCGCCCACATGAGGCTTGCTTTGCATGTAACTAGGTAGCACATTGACAGTGCTACAGAGAATCTCTCGAGAAAGGGTGCGGAGCTTGCCAAGCAGCGTGTGCACGATATGGCAGCGCAGAAGAAGAAGGCGGCACCAGCAGCATTTTTGTTGTCACCAGTGCTGTGCCTATCTTTTTAGACGCACCGGACAAATGGATTGATTGTGGAGGCCATGATGGTGGAGGATGACCAGGAGTTAGATTCAGCGGCGCCCTATCGAATTGTTTGTGAGGACCTTGCCGTTGCGTGTGTGGGAAGTCCGCTTCGGTGACTCCACGGGATGAGTTAGCCATCTATGTGAAGCCGTTACAATCTCAAGCTCTCAGCGCGTCCATCAATCACAATCGAAATCGAGACCAGGATAGAATGGCCTTTGCACGCAAACAACCGTGCAATGACAATACAGGTAAGCTGAGTGTCAAGTTTCGTGGCATGGAGGCGGGAGTGGCATCTGCTGCGAGGTCTCAGTCTCATGGGATCCTGTCAGGGTTGGGCTCACCATGCTGGAAATCGTCGCGACAGCCGCTGCTTCGCCAGCGCAATCTGCAGATGACAAGCCATTATGGGGCTCGCGCATTGGTGGCTTTTGTGGGCTTAAGATTTTACTCGCTTCCGCATAAACTGGCACGTCGAAGCCGCATGCATGCTCAACCGAATCTGGAGTCCGTTCTGACATTTTGGTTTGGCGATGAAGTGCTGCACGTGAGGGAACGCCTGAGTGACACAGGCTATTTGCGTGGGCGGACAAAGATGTGGTACCTTAGTGGGTCGAGGTATGATGAGGTGGCTAGGGCGTTCTTGCCCCTGGTGAGACAGGAGCATGCACTTTGGCAGAGGAAAGAACTTTGGGCTAAGATCTCCGAGTCGGAGAATTTGGCGAACCTGGCAAGGGTCGTCCTCTTCGATCAGATTCCAAGAAACGCTTGCAGGGGGACACCCGAGGCGTTTTGCTATGATCAGGATGCCCTTGAGGTGAGCGAAAAGCTTGTGGAGGATGGATATAGTGATTGTTGCGCCGCTGCCGAGCTCCTTTGTCTTGTCCAGCCATTCAGCCACAACGAGGTTCCGGGCGATGCTTCGCGGATCGACATGGGTATAGAGATCTTGCAGAAGAACATGCAGCGCTTTGAAGATGCGACTTCCAAGGTAATCTTCCAGGCGACTCGGCGTGATGGCAGATACCAGTATATACCAGTCTAAGCTGTGGGCCTATAAATGTCTCTCAGAGTAAGAACTGCTGCATGAGCTCCGAATGCAAGAAATAAGGCGATCCTGTCTCATGACTCTCATCGCAATGTGCTCCGCCGATTTGGTCGCTACCCGCATCGCAATGAAGTATTAGGGCGTGTGAGCACACCCGAGGACCCGAATGCTTCCCCATAAGTGCAATGCATGATTTGTTTTGACTTGCTTGGCTTGGTTTATACTTGACTGACTGCAACGGTGTATTTCACAAACCACTTCCGCATTTGAAGTTTCGGTGCCGTGGGCTTGTGCTTTGTCTGCGACAGCTTAATCCTGTTCTCAACCGGTGAAAAGAAAAAACCATTGCAGCTAGGAGATTTCGCGACATCGCGTTAGAGGACACTATCCAACCCCAGACCAGCGTGAGTCCATTTTCATGCAGGAGCAAGCGTGGCTAGCTTCGCCGGACTGCCCCGGGTGGGCCAGAAGCCAGCGATCAAAGCGCTCGTGACGGCAGACGCAGAATTGACAAAAAGAGAAGCATCTCGTGTTGCCCAGGGATGTTCAAGTAGAAGATCGCAAGGTCTCAACAGACGTGCGAGAGTTACAGCTCGTGCCAGCAACAGTGCTTCAGACCCACACTTCATGCAGCGAGGATGGATCTTTGCACAGCAAGTCCTTCGCCCACACAGACAAGGGCATGTGATCTCTGCCGCTTGCACAGTGATCCCGTATGTATGTTTGAGCGGCTCGGACAGGTATTTTATGGGAATGACCTTCATGAACTTCAAGTCTGTTCGGAAACTCAGATTCGACTCCATCCATTCTCTGCATGTCCATTGAGATGGCAGGGCCCGGTGAACCAGCCCTGGATCGAGATCCGGCCATCGCCCCGGAAATAGACAACATGCAGGGGGCCTATCGTCTGCACAAGGCATCCGGGCAAGCTTCGTTGGTCGCAGGGCTGCGCAGTTCTGCGCCTGAAGGCGACGAGTGAGGGCAGGATTGCAATAGAGATCGGGTGCACATGACCTCATCTGGGCCGTGTCGCTGCATCGCTGTAGACACTGATGTCGCATGCCTTTGGGCTTGGGTGTGCAGGTCACTCTTCCAGAGACCGTCAAGGGGGCCCAAGACGTTGACGCCCACGCCTCGACGTGTCACTCTGCACAAATTTTGCAAGTGCAGTCGAAACTGCCGCCTTTACTCTTGCCCAAGCCACGTGCATCTGAACGCAGCCATGCACTAAATCACTATCAACAGCTCCACCTTGAAGCCTGGCATAGCTTGCTGTTACGTCATCGTAGATCGAGCATGGCCGCTGTGTTCCAGCCTTAATGTCAACTTGCGAGGTTTCAGGGAGAGTCTGACTCTTCCCAGATTTCACAGCTTCGTGTGCGTGTGTTCGGGCTTCAGGCGGATTCTCCGGATCCACAACCACATTCTGGGAGGTAGAAGTCAAGCTCTGGCCTCCTCATGCAGCTCCTTGTCCAAGCAGTACCCAGATCTCTGTAAATCACGGTAAAGGAACATGAGCGACATGGAATGAGTACTGCGTGTAGTGTCGTTGGCATCTCCGCCCCAAAGAGCAAATCACACAACACGTCAGCAGCCTTGAAGCACAGCGTGTCGAGGTGGTGGTGCCTCTTCCAGTCAAAGCCTGCTTCGGGCTGCAAAGGAAGGCAACGTGCGCGGTTGTGAGGATGCCCTCGAAAGTGGGGCAGACGTGAACTGGAAGGATGAGGCCCAGGGTCCAAATAACCGCAAATGTCAAGCGTTCGCTTAGGGCACGCACGCAAGCTAGCTCTGTGGAGCTTGTGGGAGCTTGTGGGAGTGGTGGGAGTTGTGGGAGTTGTTGTTTACCAACTCACCTAAGCAGCAGTGACCCTGGTCAAAATCGTGTCCAGGACCTTATCTGGTCATGTCACAGCAGTCATGAGTGGGGTGGGGTGCCGGGGCCCCCGTCCAGATTGATTCAGAGGCACTAAGGATCCCCCCGCCCTCTAACGTTAACATGTTTCCGCAACAAGGCAACTGCCAGAATTACGGGCATGACGATAGTGCAGTTTGTTCGTTGATGCTGCTTGACTTCTGTGCGCTGTGTACATTCAGCACCACAGCAGTTGCATCTGTCAGTACGAAGCCGACTGCGTCTACTTGGCTTTCAGGAGCGCAGGCATCTGCGCGTTTGGCATGTGCCGGCCCGAAAATGCCAGCACACCCCAACATTTTTCATTTGCACATAATTATGCCAAACCTCCGGCACGCTCGCATGATTCGCAGAGCCGTTCCGCAATAGATTCGCTTGACGAGTCGCCACAGCCCCTAACTTTATGGTCCTCTTCTCAAGTGGGTTTTCGATTGATAACGGTTATCACTTGTTACAGTCCTGGCAGGATTTCTTCAACTACACAGCCTTGCATTTGGCCGCGGGCGCGGGTCACGTTGAGGTTTGTCGCCTTCTTTTGAAGCGTGGGGCTGTGCCCGAGCTGGCAAGGAGACCTTAAGATGATTGTGGTCTGAAGTTGATTTGTTCTGAGGAAATTGACCCTCGGTCGACCAGTGGCGAGACACCGCTGATCATGGCAGCTCGAGCACAGAAGTCTCTGGAGCTTTGCGATTTCCTGGTCAATGAGGGAGCTGACTTGGAGGCCTTCGTCTGCCTTCTCTCTCTGAGTGTGAGTGACGGACCGGGCAAGGCCAAGACGAACTACAAGAAGAACGCAAGGAGATTGCGGCATCGCCCGATCGAAGTGACTGTGTCCGATTCCGAGCCAGGAGCGCAAAAGAGTATCTGGACGAGTACTACAAGGAGATGGGAGCACCCGTCAACTGCGGGCTCGGCAGTTCGTGAGAATGCCAGATTTCAAAGCAGATCTCGGCCGCATTCTGCCCTGCGGAAAAGGGAAACAAGGAATTCAGAGCGGTGTGGCAAGCTGTAGCTGGGAAACCCTGGCAAGGTCGAGCTCACTGCCAGCAGCCTTCGAATAGGCTTGGACATCATGCGCAAGTGTCTCCTGCTAAGCTTGGTCCTCTGCAGGCACGGTCGGTGACACAGACCCGATCATTGAGGGCACCCTTGAGCGAAAGGCTGGCCAGCACATCCTCAGCGTCCATCTTTTCGAGGGAGACTGCTTCAGGTGGATCCAAACGGTGAGAACTACTCCTGGAGACGCTCTCAGCAGCACGAAGCCGGCAGGAGAGCATTTGCGGTGACATACCAGAAACCCAGCAGATGATGGACAAACGACTCAGGTTTCTGATCCCAGAAGAGGTTCCACCCGTGATGGAGTTGACGCTGGACAAGGTACCTTTGGGGGTGTCTTGTGTCAATGTCAACTGCACCGGCCACCGTGCGTCGCAGTTTTGAAATGTGTCGATGGTTCTCTCCCGAGCCGTTTCCGGTACTGCCAAACTCGCGAAGCTAACTTCTGAGGGTGGACCAGTCCGAGAGTTGGCCTATGCCGGCAGGATGCCGCTGAAGTCTACCAGACTTTCAGCTACGGAACGCTGCTTTGGCCGCGACTGTTCAACGACGACATTCCATTAGGCACAGCCCCATTGCACCAGTTGCGTCGCCAGTTACTGTTCGAGCAAAGCCGATCTGCAGGAGAAGGTTTATTCGAGGCGGACTTGACCGACATGCCGCATTCTGAGTCACGCAAGTGAGTTCTCTGTTGCCCGTGCTGAACTTCTGAGCCCAGGCCTCCGCACTTGCTTCAGAAATTTCAGGAAGAACAGGCAAGCTGCACACATTACCGATCACTGCACTTCAGCCGACACAAAGAGTCTTGCGGGATTCAGGCTTTTGTGCTGAAGAGGGGTTGCACTCATGACAGGAGAGATCGGACCAGAGATCACGAGAGGAAAGGCAACGCAGGCAGATGATGACGGAGGTCCCCCGCTTTCCCGCCACATCTGCATGCCTCATGTATCGGTCCTTAATGAAGCTCGCAGAGTCCAGGAGGAGGTCGCCGAGGAGACTGCCAGGCCAGCAGACAAGAGACATTACGTCGTAGGGACCCTTCAAGGGGTAGGGGAAGGGGGGGTAGGGGATAATACGAATAAGGCCTTTTTCAGGAAGTATAGTCCCCTACCCCCCTCCCCCCTAACCGCCCTAAGGATCCCTATGATTAGGTCATTCGGTGCTTGTCGTCCTTGGCCACTGCGAGGATGTGGAACGATGAGTTTGCCAGACACGGCATTCCGCATCGAGTGGATTCGACCGAGGACAAAGAAGCCCCAAGTCTATCACAGTCTATCCATGGTGAACTTGATGTTGATGCGGAATCGTTTGTGAATCGCTTGCAGGATCGGCGGCTCGAAAACTTCCAGAAGTGATAAAACGAAGAACCATCCATCGTCAACGTGGAGCTGCCAAAGCCGCACACCAGCGCTGCACCTTAAATCCGGAGGCAAAGCTCACCGGGGAGTCCGCGAGTCCGTAGCCCCAGCGCCGGACGCACTCGGAGAAGGACGGCTACCTGGCCTGGCCTGGCCAGGATGGCGCCGCAAGGCAGAGAAAAATCCGGGTTTTGCTGGTGCTTTCCTCCTGCTCGAAAGCCAGATGAGGATTCTTGCCATTGCCCTACCGTGGCCGTTGTTTTTGATGAGGGGAGCGTCGGCCTCGGCCGCGGCCATGCTTGTTCCCCACTCAAGACGTGCGGTACAAGTATCAGCACTGTGCAGACAGGTGCAACGTAAAGAGCCATCTGGCTCACGCTGTGTGCAGTAGATTCAATAGATGAGCTCGTCTTTTCAAAGTCAGAGGTGTCGTTACAAACCCCGCTCTTGCATCTGTCTACACAGATCTCGCCCACGAACCTTATTCAGTGAAATTCGCGCCCGTGAAGTCACTGAAGCTTTAATTGGAGAAATTACCGTCCATGCCGGACGACTGTTTGCCATCCCGTGTTCTAGAAGGGTTCGCCAAGCCTTCGGCAATGCCAGCCACGGGTTGTTTGCTAGAGCGTATTGCCAGCATGCTAGTGCCAAAACGCAGCACTGGTCTGGTTATGTCAGATGAGCCAGAACCCTTCAGGTTTATGCTGGCTGAAGACTCATGTCTGGCTTTGGTCTTCGGGTAGCCCGCACCAGCCCCACAGTATCCCGAAGCTTACTTTTAAACGGACTCGGCGATGGTGAGGGTTGCCTGGAATTGAGCACATGGGATGTGCCATGGAGCTCTGCTTGCAGCAGCGGTTGCGGCCATCAAGCCCTCAAGGTTCGCCCTGGCCAAGGCACGCTGCGAGAAGCTTAGCTATCGAGACGCTTCGATGCTTGGAGCTCGCATTCGCGCTCCAGGCCGCTGCAAAGATGCGACCACGGGTGCGGTCGCTCGCGTCGCGGCGTGCCGATGACCAGAAGACACAACAGCCGAAGGCCGCGCGGGCTTCGGCGAAGTTCGACTTCGCGGCTGTGTCCTGGTCTCCCGGCACGGCGCACAGCCTCCCAGACCCAGGTGGGGCTTGCGTCAAAGCGATTTCCATTCTCCACTTGCCACCGCCTTGCAACGTGGAGTATCCAACAAAGCAGTGCAGGGCTACTGAATGCTACTGACAGGGCTCACTCTCGAATCGGGGAAAGTAAGGATTCGCAGTCTCCAACTCCTGATCGAATGAGCTTTTCCTCAACCTGTGGCATCATGCGCCTTGAACCATGCGCTTTGAACAAACCTTTTTCCTGCCCATCCTTTGTCTCTTGAGTTGGCTGTGGTTCAGCAGGTTCGCCGGAGAGCACACCGAGCGATGTCGACAGCCCAGTGAGGAGAAAACGATTTCTTGCACAGCGCTCAGCCTCGAATCTCGGAGACGAGCCAGGGCCAGGGTGGAGCGTGTGTTTCGATGCATCACCTGGACCTGCAGGTATCAGAACAGGAAATCTCCTTCTCGGTTGTTATCGCTGGGTTTGCGAGGCAACTTTCACTGTGATCAGACATGCGCTTTTTGGCTACCGTAGTAGGGATCTTCAGGCAAGGGCGGCCAAATGCCGCAGCAATGTTCTTGGAGGCGGGAAGTGACGAGCAATGCTGCTCGTCAGCTAATCACAGCAAAGTTAAGATGGGACTTGCGCTTTGAACCGCAGGCCATGGTCACGAATGGCCTCTCTCCAAATGTCATGGTCTTCAACGGTGCGCGTAGAAGCTGTTGCAGTCAGCCGCCTGATGCCAGCCTTTCCGCCTCTCGATGTCAGCTGTCATTGCGGCGTTCGCTGGACATGCGGATGTGCCTCAAGCAGTCAATTGGTTCCGTCCGCAGCCTAATTGTCCGTATTCCGTACCTTTCTTCGCCGTCTGCCTGTGCTGGCGTTCTTGTGGGGCGAGGAAAAATGGAAGACCAGGCGGGGTGCCGCGGGGGAGCTTCCTGAAGGAAGCCGCAGCTAAGCGGAGCCATGCAGAGCCCCGCTCGACTCAAAATCCTGAAAGCACGGCGTCCGTCAGGGCTTGAAGCCAAACGTCGCGACACTCACCTTCGTCATCGATGCTTGTGCCAAGGCCGGTTCCCAGAGCCGACAGCAACTGCTGCAGAGCACGTTGTGCTTTGTTCCCGCGAGTCGACGTGACACAATGAGGCTGGTAAAGCAGATGAGGCGGTGAGGCCTGCAATGCAAGACGAGAGACCAGAGCCTCAGCTCATGTCTTGGCTTGAGAGTGCAGGTGGCTCCACGAAATCGAGGAGAGGGGTTTGCAGCCGAACATCGTGCGCTTTCCGGCTTTCCATACCTTATCATCCTATTGTCCTGCATTGTCTAAGAGTCTCGGACTCCGAAGCCAATGATGACTGAAGACTTCGAGCAGGGCCAATCTGTGCGTTGAGATCCTGGCGAGGTATCCTACAATGCCGTCATCAACGCCTTCGCAAGGCCCTGGCCTGTGCTCAAGCTGACATCCCTCTGTCCTGCGTTGTCCTGCGGTGGAGAAACAGAGTCATGTGAGAGTGCTGGGTTGTGCGCAGGCGAGGTGACGTCTCTGGTGCCTTGAACTGGCTGGAGCGGATGCAGCCTGTGGTGGAGCCCGACAAGGCCGGATGCGAGCACCACCTTGTCGTCGGAGTACGAGACCTGCGCACCAGGTCTCGTACAACTCAGTGATTCACAGCTGCGCAGTCTCCGAGGATCCCAGTGCGGGTGAGGCCGGGATGCCTTTTTTTGCCTTTCCTGCCGAGTTCGGCCCTGGGCCCATGGGGGCGCTGCCGGGCAGGTGGCTGAGAAGATCTTCAGGCGCATGAGGCCGTGCGAACTGCTTCGCATGGCTTCACTTCGCAGCATGATTCCGGCCAGGTTGAATAACATGTCGCCCACTCCAGCAACGCTGAATGCACTCGCGCGAGCTGTTGGCACTGATCGAAGGACCGTACGTGAGAAAGCAGTTCAAACTTCACGGTTCACGAAGATCTCGATAGCATAGACAGCACTGACGCCAGACAGTTTCGGGCTTGTGTAATTCCGGGCCGAGTTTTCAGTTCATTCCTATCCCAGCACTACGGCCAAGTGCAGGCGGGAGCGGGACAGGCGGCTTCTTCTTTTAGTTTTAGGTCAAACATTTATGGATCATGGTAAGATGCTGGACTGTGCCAGTGGGGTGGTCAAGCTGCGATGCCCGTCTTTTGCAGCAACTCAAGATGAACAGATCGTTGATTCCATGCCAAGCGAAGGTTAATCGAAGCGGTGCTGCTTTGGAGTTGTTCATTGGCAAAGCTTATTTATTTCCCCATTCCTCTGTTTTTTCGGTGGCACTCTGACTATGTATTGGCATTCTATGGTGGCGGCATGGTGGCAAAAGTGCGGTACCCATGTATATCTCCGCCTCAATCTAGAAGGGTGGCTTTCAGGTCTCATGGCGCGAAGCTGAGTCCAAACGCCCCAAAAAGCGACTCAGGGATTTGCTTTCTCCAAAACTTCCAAAGCCTCATCTGTGGATGCTTCCCGTAGGGCTCGTGTGGGCGTTCCCTGGCACCGAACGGTGCCAGGTGACATTGTTGCTTGGTGAGGTTCATGGTATGATCTGAAACTGAGATGCTCGGGTAGCAGCTGTGCCACGAGAGGTCGGCAACGGTAGTGGCACACGACGACGTACCAATGAGTTCAATGGATCACTACCCTCCAAGCCAGGAATTTCCTTTGCGCAGAGCTGGGCATTGAATGGGACGAGGCATCGTTGACACGATCAATTTGCCTGCTCACTTCGGCAAAACGTAGCTTTGGGAATCGATCCCGACTGAGGTACCAACCCATCAAGGGAAGCATCGAAAGGCCAGCTTGCCAGGGGTTGCAAGGGCAGTGTGCATCTGTTCTGTCTTTCTGTGTTGCATCGTCTTCAAAATATCGTTGGACCGTTGTAGAGGGCAGCTGCGGGTATGCCTGGAAGGGATTCTGTGATGATGTTGGGTATCATCTGGCATCGCGGCATGTGAAAGGTCAAACCTCTTGGCTGATCTTGCTCGTCTCAAAGACCAGCAGTAGGAAGGATGCCTCTCTGACCTTCACTCGCTTTCGCAAAAGACCGCTGCAGATTGCTGTCGCTGTACTTATGCAAGTCGTTGAAGTACGGGGCTTTGTCTTCATATCCGGCCAGCATACGTGGCCCGATTCAGCAGCAGCTGGATGCAGAGATGATCAGCAATCTTAAACGCATGCTTTACATGCAATTGACCAATCTTCCACGGAACAAAGTCGCTGTTCTCCCATGTTAAAAGCAGCAGTTCATGACTAGTTTGGTTGTGCGTGTCTTGTGTTGTCCACCTGTGATGAGCTATATTACAGACATTCAATTCATCAAATGGTCCTCGGAAGTCCGTCACCATGGGAGTTGCCACTTCGAACCTGCCAGGCAATTTTCTGCCTTGCTTATTGCTCCACAACTTGACATAGCATTGTACCACGCTCGACCTGGCTTGTGGCAGGGCCATGGTTCTTTCCAGACAGCGTGCAGATTGTGGTTGTGCCCGGTGCTTTCTATCTGCTGCATCGTTCGACAGCAAGCCACAATCCAAGCTCAGTGTCAGGTTAAATGATGCACGAAACATCGCGCTACTGCAGGGCGAGGCAGACGCCCCCTTGATGGCTGCAGTTCGAGATCGTGTGCTTACTGGGACATTTATAGCATATATACACTTGTTGCAAGTCATGGAGGAGCTTAGTGCCCTTATCCAAGTGGAGCCTGACGAGCAGCTGCACCACTTGACGAGGCAGCAAGACTTGCCCTCACATGAGGACAGAATCTTTAGGACTTGCTGCTCCAGTCCAGGGAAACCCCGGCAAGTTTGTGACGGGCTCAGTGGCAACATGAAAGGTTTTGTTTTCTTCTGCTTGGAGAATAATTTTAGCTTTCTCAGGTCAGTGAGGCCGAACACGATCTTGGTGGTGAAATTCCACGCCATTGTGCAAGGCTTGCAGGAGCTTGACTACCAAGCACATCAGCGGTTCAAGCACTACCATGAAGCAACAGGGCATGTAAGGTAATCCCAGCAATTTTGCGCGTGCTTCCAGGACACAGCAAGATGCCTAGGCGATGTCGTGCTACCCCTGAACCACGTTGCGCGCGTGCACGGAGCCGAGTGCAGGCAAAGCAGCTCCGTTTCCAGCAGCCTTTGCAGAGAGTCAGGTGCGCGGGAAGTCTGTACCAAGTGTGGCTGCCGTTGCAGCCTGCTTTGTGACGGCCTCAGGGTATTTGCACTTTCTGCCGTGCATTGCTGAAGCCTGATTGACTGAGCAACACTTCTCTGTGAAGGTCGTGTGTACAGGAGGAGGACTACGTCGACAACTTTGACAAGGCCTGGGTAACAGTCTGATCAGGGATTTCCCTGCATGTTGTATAGCCTGGCTGGCCTACCTCCCCACATCATCACGGATCCGACTCGGCGCCGTCCCATGTCTGCAAAGATTGCTTCCCAGGCTGTGTGGAAAGCAGCAAGAGATCCTCGAAAGCCAATGGTCCGCTTCCTTCAGATGTTCTGTTTGCTCATTGCGTTTGCCCGCTGACATCTGATGTGGTGCAGGTGTGTCTCAGCCTCTACGCTGGAAGCATTCCGCAAGCCTGCAGCGCAGTGTCAACTAGTAGCTAGTACCCGCTGGTAAACCTGGCCCTCGGATCTTGAATCTTTTTCCTTGGCTCCAGGCTAGCAAAGACTATTTGTTCAATGCCTCAGCCAGCGAGAAGGCCTGTCGTGTTAAAGCGTCCGCAAATTGCGAGATCATCAACACATACCAACATACTGTGTCTCGAGAATGCCAGTCTAGAACAGCGATTGACAGAAATAGTCGGATTGTGCTCTTTCTACAGTAACGCAGCAGCTGGTCAGTAGACACCTGTGAAGCTGGTGGACAGGCACCTTTACATGAATTTCGCCTCGTCGCGACAAGATTTCGCCGACTTCAATATGAATGCCAATGGAACACCGTGCAGCTTGCAAGCGAGTGTTGCTCAGCGACGCTGCACCTGGGTGCTGATCCGTAAAAGTTGGGCGTTTCGGAAAGGTCTTTAGGTTCCATGCGCATGACATACCGGCACCTGAGAACGTGTTTGGAAGGCAAGAGCCTTTGAAGGACGGTTGGATGAACAGGTACGGAAGGGACCTGCCGAGGAAACAGTACGATCGAATTCAGCAGGTTGTTGTTATTCTCAAGTACAGCAAGCCTAAGCAAGCAGTGTCGACATTCAACGGAGGTCTTGGTTGAAGTCGGTTAAGTTCGATTCTGTGCCTGCTTCTCCCTTGCTTCAGGCAGACCGCTTTCTTGGACTGCTGCAGCTTGAGTCTTGGGAATCTCATGCTGAGTCATTTGTTATCAGTGACAGCCGTGCAGGTCTCACACACAGCACATGCGGCTGCTGCAGGCACTGGATCGGGTTGGGAGTGTATTCACGCGACATGCAAATGTGGGAGGCTTTGTACAGAGAAGTACGCAGCAACCAGGCTGGCCGGAAAGAGTAAAATGACAGTAAAAGACTTCGCAGCGAAGATGGACCCGTGTCAAAGTGCCTCTTCAGGCGGCCCAGCTTGCGAAAGCCTCGGCTGACCCTACAAAGCTCTTCTGGCTCTTCAAACTCTCTCTGAGGACCTGTCTCGCTCGAAAGATGGGCTGGCAGACTCCTGGCCCTCGGAGCTGAGATCTCAGGGGGACAGTCGCTCGACGCCTCTAGGATGTGCGAAGGAAGCTGCGAAATCATCAGGTTTCGGCGGGTTGAGGCGAACTTGGGACAGGCGTGCAGCGCGCTGTGTCTTCCTTGCTCGGCTATTCGTGAGAGAAGGCCCGCTCTGTCGCTGACAGGCCGCTCCTGATCCGTCTGGGCCAGCCGAGGTGAGCGCTTTTTCACGACGCTTTTGCTCTAGAAGTGCCTGTAGCTCTTTGGCCGTGTTGTCATTCGCCTGTGTTGCTTGCAAGGCGCGCGGGGACGGCGAAGACGCCAGGCGCTTAGCGCTGCAAAAATTTGCATGTTGCCGCCTTCTAGGGCAATCCGGCGGCAAAGTGCTCCGAAAACCCAACAACAGCTCCACTTCCGACCGTCTCTGGCACACCAGCACAAGCGCGAGCTGCACTGTCTTGCAGCAGAGCGACCTGCTTGCTGACAAAGTGCATGGCTGAGGTAGCCCGCGACGAAACCAAGGCCTGCAGCGTCTTGTCGCTGTCGTTTGTTGTTGTTGTTGTTGTTGTTGTTGTTGTTGTTGTTGTTGTTGTTGTTGTTGTTGTTGTTGTTGTTGTTGTTGTTGTTGTTGTTGTTGTTGTTGTTGTTGTTGTTGTTGTTGTTGTTGTTGTTGTTGTTGTTGTTGTTGTTGTTGTTGTTGTTGTTGTTGTTGTTGTTGTTGTTGTTGTTGTTGTTGTTGTTGTTGTTGTTGTTGTTGTTGTTGTTGTTGTTGTTGTTGTTGTTGTTGTTGTTGTTGTTGTTGTTGTTGTTGTTGTTGTTGTTGTTTTGTTGTTGTTGTTGTTGTTGTTGTTGTTGTTGTTGTTGTTGTTGTTGTTGTTGTTGTTGTTGTTGTTGTTGTTGTTGTTGTTGTTGTTGTTGTTGTTGTTGTTGTTGTTGTTGTTGTTGTTGTCGACATTGCTGCAGCTGTTGCTGCCGCTGCTGTTGCTGCCCGTGCTGTTGTTGCTGTTGCTGTTGCTGCTGTTGCTGCTGTTGCTGCTGCTGCTGCTGCTGCTTTGCTGTTCTCGTTGAGTGTTTTGTTGTGTGTTTGTTTTGTTTTGTTTGTTTGCTTGCTTGTTGCTTGTTGTTGTTTGTCGCTTGTTCGTTGTTCCCCACCCTCGGTGTGGGGTTGTTAGATTTTAAAGTCAGCTATTACTCCTCGCCCGCTGAGATTACCTCCTGGAGTAGCAGACCCCACAGACTACCTTGAGAATACCGTGAGAATCCCTAGAGTGCCCAAGCCCACAGACTACCATGAGAATCCCTGGAGTGCCCAAGCCCACAGACTACCGTGAGAATCCCTGGAGTGCCCAACCCCACAGACTACCGTGAGAATACCGTGAGAATCCCTGGAGTGCCCAAGCCCACAGACTACCGTGAGAATCCTTGGAGTGCCCAAGCCAGAGACTACCGTGAGAATCCCTGGAGTGCCCAAGCCCACAGACTACCGTGAGAATCACTGGAGTGCCCAAGCCCACAGACTACCGTGAGAATCCCTGGAGTGCCCAAGCCCACAGACTACCGTGAGAATCCCGGGAGTGCCCAACCCCACAGACTACCGTGAGATTCCTTGGAGTGCCCAATCCCAACTTTGGGTCTTATGATTTGCGTGCAGGAAGGACAAGGCGCTAGGGTGGGGATGTTCGAAGTAAGGTAATTGTTTGTTGTCATTGTTTCTTTCGTCGTCGTTGTTGTTGTTGCTGCTGTTGTTTGAAAGGCGGCTTCGCATTAGTCATTAGTCATAGTGACATAGTGCCGAACACTGCAAGCAATACGACTCATGTTTCTCCCGCTGAAGGCTGTTGCTGTTGAGCGCTTGGGTTGATTGATCAGAACCTTGCATAGCAGATAGAGGAGAAAGTCGTTGTTACAGCTGCTACTGCTGCTACTTTATCTCAATCCAAACCATGCGATGAATACCTGCGGCATTCTTCTGACCGGCGTTGCCCATGTGCTCATCAATGTCATCGGTAGCATCGTGGTTGTCACCCCAGCAGCACCATCATGTCTTCGCATCGTTCATCGCGACGAGCCGTCACGATGAACCAGTCGCAACATCATCACCGTCATCGTCATCGTCATCACTGTCATCATCATCATCATCGTCATCGGCAGCACCATGATCATCCTCATCATCATCATCGTCATCATCGTCATCATCATCACATCACTGGCACTGGCACCGGATTCACCACCATCCCTAGATGCGGGATTGGGATCAGGAGGCCCTCGACTATCTTCGCGAGGAGATCAAGCTGGGATCTTTCTGCTTCCAACGAATGACGGCAGAACCACATCGCAGCACTGAGGGCAACTACTGCGGATGCTGAAGCCAGAATCAACAAGGTGCGTAGTCAGAGCCGTATGACATTGCATCAATATGCACCCGACAATTCGCCACGTTCCTGGTATGGCAGAAGCCTTTGGATCACGGAGGCCGCCGAGTCCGTCACAACGCTGAAGGACATGATCCAGGCTAAGCAGGCTTTTCACTTAGCAATGACGAAGACTGTACCATGCTACTGATGCCAGCGCCGCCGACATCTCTTGCATCCGACATGAGCTTCAGGTGGAGTTGATCCAGAGGAGAAAGGAGGTTCTGGCCCCAAACACGATTGCCGATGCAGTTCGGAGACGTCGAATTCGTGTCGAGCGAGGTGTCTCGCCTCTATCATGATGCGGAGTCTGTGGAGGTTTGGGACGAGTCTCCATGCGAATTTAGAAAAGATGTGACACCCGTTGTTTGCCAGCTGGAAAATCAGAAGCTTCAAGTCCAGCTCACCAGAGCGTCTCTGCATGTGGGAGGCCAGCCAACCCTGTGTAGACTGAGCATTCAACTGGCGTCAAGCGGATTTCGACTCCCCTGCAAGGCCAGAACCAAAATGACGGTGAAGAGGCCCCCGTCCCTCTTCCATATCTTCCATTCCCCAGCGTACTCTCGTCGCAGCTCTCCGAGGCCGAGCAGCTTCGCCGTGAGGCGGAGGACTTCCACACGCAGAAAGAGGCCAACACGGCAAAGAACTCTCTTCTGCCGAGCCCAGCAGCCCCCGCGAGCCTTTTTGCACATGCAACCTCCCCGGCTCTCAGCATCCAAGATTCTAAGATCTCGGAACCTGAGGGAAGCTGCAGACTTGCAATTTCTTGCAATGACATCTGACGACCTCTGTGCCTAATGAGAGAACCCAACACGAGCCATGGCCCGGAGCAGTATGTTTCTCTGGCAGCCTCGCACGGCGCAGCCAGCGGCCCTAGCAGCCCCAGCAGCGTCGGTCTTCAGCGCTGGCTTGCCCCTGCCAGCCTTCTTCTTTCCTCCTTGTTCTTCCAGAATGCTGGTTTGTATTCTGCGACCTGTGAGTACGTGAGGTGGACGGACGAGACGTTAGCTAAACTGGCAGGCCAGGAGACGGTGGTGGCAATCGAGGCAGACGCTTTGGAAGATCCCGTGCACAGACTCCTGAAAGCCTCGAAGCTTGCAGACTCACTAGAAGGCCTGAGCTGGTCTCCTGAGATTTGGGTGGATCTCATGGCGGATTGCGTTATCATTTTTCTGCTGTGCTGGCTCGTTCGGAAGAACGATCTCCAGACATGGACGCATCTCGCACTTTCCGCATCTCTGCTCGCTGTTTTAAAGGGGTTCCTGGCTTGGTCCACTGTACTGCCAAATGCAGCTGGCTGGGGAGCGTGCAAGGAATCTCTTGGTTTGGATGGTTTGTTGTACTTTAGACGCCAGAACACAGGAGGCCTCGGCCTGATGGATTCTTTGATAGATATCTCTTTGCTTACAATCCAAAGTTTGTGGTTGCTGGGCCGCGCCGCACCACAGCAAATTTGCTCCGACACCATGTTCTGCTGCTCAACAAGCTCACTGACACTGGTTTGTTTGAGTGCTTACGAGACAGTCGCTCGCAGCGTGGACGAGTTGAGACCCGAACGACGTGCAACCGTCATGGGCCTGTTTGGACTCATCCTTTGTGCAATCGTTCTGGCAGACATCACCCTGGCCATCGGGAGCAAACTCCACTACAGCCTCGACGTGATAGCAGCGGTGCCGTTGAGCTTTTTGGTCTATGGCAACCCTGCTTTGGCCCTGATGGCCCAGGACTGGGCAGACCCAGTAGCCGTCGAGGTCAAGAAAGACGCAACCGGGGCACCTAGATTTCCACCTGACCTTGGATTTGTTTCAGTGGCACCGTGTTGTTTGCCGTTCGCTGATGTTGCTGGAACATACTACCTGCAAGATAGGGACTGGGACTTCAGCCCATACAGCTGGACGGCAGAGCGACAGCGCCAGCACTATCGGCGGAAGTCTGAGATTCAGGCCATGCTGGAGGCCATTTCGGATTTACATTTATTTTCTTGTTTTTGAGGTAATGATGCAGCCTTTCATGATGGGGTGTGTTCGGACTTCTCCTTGAGGCAACCAGGCGGCGCTGCGAAGATCTGACACTTCTCTTGCAAAGTGGCAAGCGAGCAGCCGAGCACGTCCTGGAAGAGAGGCGGAAGGAGATCGCACGCCCGGGCACATGACTAATCGACACACAGAATCTAAGAACGGAGTAGGCTGAAGGGATTCGGCTTTTTCTGCTGTTCACACTTCATGCTAACATGTTAGGGCCAGGGTCTCATGCTTGGGAGCGGGGCATGGTTTCACGATTTGAGAAGCAGGAGGTTGACCGTCGCGTGGCTGAAGTGTGCAGCATGCAGGACTGCTGATAGCTGCTCGCTGCAGATCATCTTGTAATCTAGTTTCTGGCTGCGGACTGGTCCAGCCAGGAGAGAGAGCTGGCAGATGCCAAGTCAGCGCTTGAGGCCGATCGCGAGGCTGCGGACTGTCTGAATGCTCAAGCATAGCTGGCCTGGCTTCCTGAGCCTCAGGTACTCGCTGCCCTCAAGTCAAAGCTGGCCTCGACATCTGCACCCCATGAGTGAGAAGCAGGACTAGCAGGATGCCTGGCCCGCGCCGGGACTTGACCACTGCCCTTCTCGATCGCTTCCAGCATTGCCACAGAAAGAGTGCATGTGTGGCATGTCGCACAACCACTGTTTGTACGCAAAGCCAGCATCGTGAGCGTTTGCGGGCAAATACATGTGTGTGTGTGTGTGTGCAAGTGTGTTAGTGCACATTCCACAACTTCCGTGTTCGTGTTTTTCGTATGGTGCCCGCGTTCATTGCCAGCCTCCGTGCAGGCACTGCTTCTGATTTTACGAGACTTCTACGGCGCCATGGGAGAGGACCCGGTTCGATGGCCAGGTGTTTTGCGGTTTGTTTCAGGGAGACGGGCGCATGTGGCATCGTGTGTCGCATGTCCGTTCCATAAAGGTTTAGGCATCGCACATGTCCGCCTTCCTGGTGTAAATCATTGATGCCCTGGCCTCCATGCATGGCCCCTGTTGAGGTGACATCCACAGAAGTGAGACCACCCCGCAACAAAGGGTTTGCTGGAATTGTAGGTGCCGAGCTCCGAGAGCGGCGTTGTTCGACACGTGCAGTCAAGAATCGCCGCTCAATCGGCCTATGCTCCTTTGCCTCTGCGCTTGCTATCACCCTCTTGGCACCCAATCCCAAGTCGGCAAGATCACCTTGCGCTATGAGTTAAGCACAGAGATGCAGAGCGCCCCAGACACGGCCTGAGTAGCTGTGAACACCTACTTCCCTGACCGCGACCCTCTGTATCAATTCCATGCTTTTCTTGCCACACACGGAGCACCGGATTCGGACCTGGACTAGTGGTTAAGCATAAGGGGGTTGGGAACAGTGCGCATCCCAGAGCTGCAGCTTCTTCCTGTCCATGTCCTGCATATTTCCACAACATCCCCCCCTCCCCAGTACAATGAAACGACTCCTGCCCTGTCAGCTCTTGAGCTCGAGGGGATGAGCACGCAGTTCTACCCTTGTCTGCGATCGAGATCGATTGAGGTGGCCGAGTCTTGGAAAATTCTGGGATGTGAGATTTCCGCAGCCAAAAGACTTGGCGAGCCACAATGCTTCACTCCGGCTTGTCATGGAGACAGACTTCCTTTTCGGAAGGACATGCCGTTGGGGGTTTCCAACAAGACACACCTCGCAGAACGGCGGAACGCATGGGACTGGGAGTCCTCCGGCTTCAAGAGCCATGCTCCTATGATCTGAAAAGGCCTTAGGCTGTTGAACGTTGCGAGGGTTGGGGTCAGAGCGGGTTCCAGGTTGGTACGGAGATGAACTTGACACGAAGTTTGCAGCATCGTAAGTTGGCAGCATGGTAAGGAGCCACCCACACTGTCGTTCTGTCCTTGGCGCTCGATTGTGCAGCCTGCGAGGAAGCAGAGGTTGTCTTGGAATTCGTAAGCCTCCGCCCAGGGCGATTGTCAGCAAGCACCAGCTGCGGCCAGCTCCTCGGCATTCCTGACTTACTGGAATCGGCAAGGTGCCATGTCTGTATCAGAGGCTGGGATTCGCAGGCCCTCTGCTCCTTATTGCGGGGGTTTTTGTTCAGGACCAAGCAGCTCGAGCCCGACGGCGACAAGGCTCCCTCCGCAGTCGGGCAAAACAGACAAGAGGTGGTTTCTGTAGGCAACTAAACCTCGCACGATTTGCCGCAGCCGGTTCAGCTCAGGTCGTGCCAGTAAGCAGCTCATGGCCATCTACACCATTGTAGCACAGCTGGAAGCACTTGAGTCACGCGAAACGTCCTGAAATCGTGAACGGGAACCTCCTCGCTTCTGCCGGTAGCTGTGCTTTGAAGGCTGATGTCGCTGTCCCGAAGGTTCCATGACGGGGCATTAGTTTTCAGATCATCAGTGGATTGCTTGGATGCAGTAGCGTGCAAGAACCTGTGAGCATTGGCGGGAGACTTGATGTAGATGTCGTTAATGGAGTATCCAGTGTGGTCAAAACAGGCTCAAATCGTGAGAATATCGGGTCCTTAGTTTTCCATTCAGCGGCCGTGCTGACCAGGATCGGTGTTCAATGCCGACGGCGAGGGGCAGTGCTCCTGGCTGCCGCTCTGTGTCAAAGCCTCGACACGTCTCGGCTCGCAACACGAAGCTGATCCAGGGGGAGGGGGATCCCAGAGTTTGTGCTTCTTTGTCTGCGACTTGCAGGTTTTGAAGCAGTGCGCCGGCTCGCTTTCAGCGTGCCACTCGGTTCAGGCCTGGAGGCAACTGGAGATAGACGTGTCGGGGGCTGTAGCAATTTGTTGGCAGGTCCTGTTGCCTTGGAGCAAGGTGCCATAGGACCGTGCTTACAAGCCTATCCGGTACGATATCTTTTGGCACTGTTTTTGAGGCCCGACGGTGACTTCCTATGTCCATGCTCAACTCAGAGACTTGACAGGACAGACTGCTTCGGCACATCTCTTGCCACGGCAGCAGCGCCCTCAGCCGTCGTGCTCTGTCTTTGGAGGTGATGTAAACCTTAGCTGAGGCCCCAGGTCCGATCTGCTGCACTTCCAGAGGCGAGACCACGAGACCCTCCACTGCTCTCCGGGTATCCGCGTCAGAGGCATGACTCTTCGTTCCCGAGGCTCTCTCAAGTGTGCAGGACCTCATTCAGCAGGCGGCTTGTTCGTTCTTGTTTGCAGTCGGGCAGGTTCTAAGCTTAGAGTTTTTAGTGATCCTGTATCGCCAGGAGGCATGCTTTTTACCCTGCCTCTGCTCATGCTTCCTTGCTGTCGCCGTGTACGAGAAGCACTGCATCGCTAGACCTGACTCTTCGCAGTCTTGAAGCAGCTGCATCCAGAGATCGCCCCAGAAGACAGGTCCCGGACCAAGTCGCCGCGTGTGCGCCTCAGCACAACGCAAGCAAAGTCTTTGGACGTTCCTCGCACAGTCTTCTGGCCCACAAGCCCCAAACTCCAAACCTCCCGTCCAACGAGTCAGCAGGCTCGGTCCTGCCGGGATCTTCTACTTCTTTGGCATCTACGTGGTAGCAGCGTCCTCGGCTTCGCGCATCACATTTTCTGACATTCAGTCTTGGCACTTCAAGGCAGAATGTCTGGCGTTGCCAGCCGCTCCCCTCACACTGTCTTCTGGATACCTATTTGGCGTGATTCTTAGATGAGGTCTGATGAGGTGCTGATGTAACATGATCATGTCTGGCCAAGATTCAGGTTTGCCCGTGGGTGCGGTAACATCTGTTCTGGCAGGGACTGGCCGCTTGCTTCACGGCAGCTTGAGGGGCATGGAGCTCCACAAGTTGCGATGGAAGTATGCTTTGCAGGACGACGGCGGCAGCGATTGGATTTTTGCTATCACGGACCTTCCTCAGGCACATGCGAGCTGGGTTGCAAGACGCACCTGGATGTTTGAACTTGAACTGTTGTCCCGTCCGCATCAGGCCCCAGATTCAGCAAATTGCGGAGGAGAACGAGACTTTCCGAGACATCAACAAGGCACCTGCCTGAGGAAGGTTTGACGAGTGCTAGAGGTGTGCTGCAGAAGCAATTCGGCCTATAGCAACTGCCGTTCTCCGAGGCGGTAGAGCCTGTCTCCAAGTATGCACCTGCGACTGCCTGCGACACTTCATGTTGTGCGTGTCATGAGCATATTGACAAGCTGTCTCTGAAGCGTTTCCTGCTGAAGCAAAGGCAGTGTGAGTGTAATTGCTCCCTGGGTGTAGGAGTACGAAGTGATAGCGACTAGAGACTCGCACGTCTATGAATGCTCCAAATATCTCCACGTCCTGCACTTGCAGACTTGCAGACTACGACTTCCTTTGCCCATAGCCCGCCTCTATCTGGGCGGATCTAGCAAGGCACCCGAGTGTGTATCGTTTAAGTGACCGGCCTTCATTGAGAAATGGGCAGCCATGGCGGGCTACATGCCTCAAGTTATGTTTGCCGTGGTGCCGCCTTCTGTACTGGTGCCGCCCATTGCAGCTCCCGTTGGCATCGACATTGCCACAGAGGCAGTGCCAGACAAAGCCTCATCTGTCCTTTAATTAAGCTTGGAAATCGGCAGTTACATCGGTTGGTGAGGCTTCATACATGAAGGGTGAAAGTTGTCGGATTCAATTCTTGGGGCTCAGTGTTGGCTCAATGGTAGAGTAAGGCGGCGCAATGTGTTGTCTCGCACGTCGTGATGCTTGGAAGTTTGGTGATCAGCACCGAATAGGCTGGGATGGGCCCAGTTGGGTAAAGTTGGTATGCACTTATGCAAGGATCTGACGCCTTGCTTGGTTTCTCGCTCTGACATAAGCGGGGTTTAACAGCTGGGACTGTTGGGGTTGAGGATACTTCGGGCTGCCAGCGTGGACAGCTTCGCTCGACGGTTGTCGAAGGCAAACAAGTTGAGTTGGAATCGGGTTCAGGTCTCTGGACCGATTGTACGATTTGCCGACATGTTGCCTAGTGAACATTTCAGACCGACGCGGGCATTCAAAGATATTCAAAGAAGTTGTTGGGGGAGTGCAGCTGCCGAGTACGCTACACGGCACCATCGTGCAGCCCGCGGGCCGTGCTTTTGCCGTTTGACCTGTCAAGGTGCAGCGCATGGTGGAATGCGAGGGCTTCAAGCCCCTGCGCTTGCCAGTCAAGTCCTCGGCACATCCTGCAAAGAGTCATGGCCTGTGGCTCATGCGGTGTTTGCGGGAAGCGCTGAGGATGCAGAGTCGAGACTGAGCCCCGCTTTGCAGAAGTATCTTCTTGGTAATTGCCTGCGGCTCGAGCAGGTGCCAGACAGCTGTTTCAACCACCTTCGGTCGCCTTCATGTTTGAGATCCTTGTGGCCCTGCCAGGTATTGAAACTCCATCCCAGCCTCATAAGCTTGTGGAGCCAGGACGGGACCCAAATCCGAATGCATGTTTCCAGACAACTTCAACTCTCAGTCGCTGCACAGGACGATGGCGTTCTTATGGTTTCTGTGCCGTCTTCGCCTTGGCTTGGGGCAAAACCCCAGCCACCATCCGAGCATGGACCTACTGGCCCCAAACAAAAGGAGAACCGTGACCAGGCGCGATCCGCCAATCCGGTCCTGACGGCCAGAGACGTAGAACCGAAGCTCAGCAGGTGCTCACGGGCATTCTCCGGGGCAAGGCAGAGGATTGAAAGCTTGTCACCTTTGGGGCTTCGCATGGCAATCTCCATCCTTCCAGGCCCTGGACATCATAGAGGATCTCACCAACATACCAGACCTGCAAGAAAGCTTGCGTCAAGGACTCAGACATGGGACAAAGGGCAACTGCTCCCCTGTGCTCCCCTAGGTGATATTGCCGCAATCCTGTTGACATCCCCAGACAGGACAGGCATAAAAGTGGACGCAATCGTGAGCCTGGGGCTGCTACTCTGCCAGTAGCCTCTCTTGCAAGGACTATGCTCGTCTCAAGTCTGGGCAACAGAATCTCCACAAGAACGAGGAGCCCTTGGAGACCCTGAAACACCCTTAGAATGGGGCTGAACGGGCGTGGAACACAAGAAGCGCTTGCGAGGAATTTCCTGCGATGTTCCAAGCTTCGCACAGCTCAGCTGCTGCGATGCTTCTCAGATGATTTCCTTCTCGAGGAGCTCCGCAGGTAACATTCCAGTGCAAGCAGCTAGTAGCGGAGGATGATGCAAGTGCTATGCTAGGAAAGGTGTAGAGACAAGCCCAAGAGTGCACTTTGTAGGGTTTTGCATAGTTTTGATGATTCTTGATGGGGACCAATCAGTGTTCTGTTATGCCGCAGGAGAAAGGAGCGGGCACAACTGTGACCTATGCCAAGGCTCTCGCCCCGGCTCCTGCATGAAGTTCAGACCAGTGCGCTGCAGCAGACATCGTGCCCCGACATCTGCATCCTTTACTGGAGTCGCACCAAGCGACAGACAGCAATTTGCAAGGCCGCACCGAAGCAGTACTACGTGACTCCACAGCAGCACCAAAGGACAGCCAGAAGTCATATGAATATGGTGGAACTGACTAAGTTTGGCATGCGGCAGGGCTAGGAACGTAGCGGCGTCGCGGTTCTTGCACTCTCTGGTCCAGGATCGACTCAGCCAGACATGCAAGACTCCTGAAGCTGGCGACAGATGTGACGATGGACTTCAGGCCAGCATGAAAAGCAGAAGCTGTGGAGCAAACCAGTCTCCTAACTTTCCTGGCTGGAGGCAAGCCAGAGGCATGTCTGCTGGCGACCTAATCGAGAAGCTTTGCACCTCGTCACGACGGGAATTTTGGCACCTGTATCAAACAGAACTGTCATCGGCGGAAATCTGCAAAGTAGGGCTCCTGAAGTCCAGGGCGGGGCCAGGGTTAAGCCTTGCATGCTTGCATACCAGGCAAAGAAGGCACCAACGGCATGCTGCTGATCGACTGTCGCACTGCCACTTGGAGTCATTAGTTGCAAGGGTTGGAGAGCTTTTCATGTCGGGTCGTTCTCTTGGGGTGAGATTCTGCCATACTTGTACGTAGGAGCAGCTGGAGGTAGGGCCTGACTCAGGAGGTGCTCCGTGAAGGTGTAGCGGTCAGTCTCAGTGGGATTATCTGTTCTAGATTGGGAAGTTGGTTGGTGAGCAGGAAGGCATGAAACGGTTGATCTGATCTGAAAACGGCT